AAGAAGCGTTAATGGAGTTCGCTGATGGATTATTACGAAACAATGGCGAATAAATACAAAGTATTGTTATATTTGTGATGCATTGCGAAATGAAATCTGTGGGATTTGGTATCATCTTACTTATTAATGACATTTGTAGAACAGGATATTTTAGCCTAAAAATTAGAGTGCAATGTACGTTCAAAGGACAATTTTAAAATGACTTCAATTACTGTAAATTATCATTTCATAACAGCTGCTTTCGTGGTGAGAATGTTTGGCCAAGAGCACGTATACTCAGAAATACATGTTCTGAGTGTTTCCGATTGTGAAAGTGTTGCACAATTGTGATGCAGGTGCGCCTGGCTATATCCAGCCACCATTATTCCGGACACAAATAAGCGAATATTGCTTCTTAAAGACGCGTTCACAGAGTCACAAATACTTTGTTACTTGTCGGACATATTAGTTACAGTATGGTCACATAGCGAGCGTTTCCTGATATCGTGCAACATGATATTGTGTCCAATTATCTGACACGTTAAATGTCCCCGAAATTACGGCTCGCCATCGGCATTGTCATTGAACTGACCTACACAGTAATTTGAGCAATTACTTTAGTATGTACTAAGAAAACGTATTTTTTGGTAAAAAAACAATCACAATAAGTTAAGTGCTAAAAAACTTACGTCATTCTCTAACCCGTAAGTCAAATGGTTTTTATGACTCTGACATTGTCGCGTGGGTATTTTAAGGCGAATTTATTAATGTTTTTCAGTAAATATTTTCTGGACACTTACCTAGTTTATGTTAATGGTAAGTTGAACTAAGTGGAAAATTGGTCCGTTTGTCGATCCTATAGCAAAAGCTCTTAGTCTATCAATAACTGACTCTTACGGAGAATTAAATACGATCATAGACGGATCTTCTACTATTTCATTGACAAGCTTGCACAGTTCTACATAGATCCATAAACAAATCAAGCCTAATAAAATAGCCCTAGTGAATGATACAATCATGACAGATGTCCGATGTATTAAATTAAATCATGGACCTAATAACGCCACTTGCACCGGAACTGATGATCTAATTTACTCGGAAGAATATAAAGGTCACATGTATATTATGCATCTGATATTACTCATATACGTAATCTATTTATATTTAAACTGATATCATGACTTGATTTCTATTTACGGTCATGATATTACATGTTTTTTTACTGAGATTTATGTATTTCTCTTATCTGCTCTCAACAAAAAGTACGATTTAACTAAATTTAAGTGCTATAATTATTCATTTTTGTTACATTTTCTGTATTTTAACGCAAGTTACTTCTATATGTCCTTGGGTGCGTATCCTCCGATCGGATAAAACCGCTATTATTTTTTTCCGTGTATTCTCAAAGAATTACCAGAATTACCTATTAGGTAGGTAGTTCTTTAGCTAGAAGTTGAAATCAATATTCCAAGAACTACCCAAAAAGCAATAAAAGAATCGAGAAAAGTATTTAGGTAAGAATAAACGAACATTCACGCGTTCAGAGAGACATATTATAAAAGTGTAACGACATATATTCGCAAACGTGACTCGAGCCAGCTCTCTTGCGCTCACAAATGGAGCATTTTATATTGGACAATCACAAAAACTGTTGATGTGATGTCATCAGGAAGCTACAAGCACGGCTTATCATGATGATGTCACCGCCTAAAGGTCGAGGTCACAATGAACTTGATTTTATAAACTTTTTTAAAGGCTATGATAGTTAGAAGGGTTATTGACTTAAGTGATAAGGGTGTTACGGTCTGTGCTTACAAAGATTAGAAATTTTATCATATCCATAACTATATATGTAAAAAAAAACATGTTCGTTTTTTCTACATTATTTAGGCACTCACAATCCGAACTTGACAACCTTCTACTAATTACATGTAATCTTATTTGTATTTTAATCAACTTAAAACAAGCAAAATTTTTCAATTGCACATAATATGTACATAACAGCATTACACTGTCTAATAGCACATATTTGGAAAGAAACCATTGTGCATGCTTCCTAGACTAAATATGTAACAAAAGAACTCTTGATGCATGTGTGTGTGTCACATAAGAACTCTTCTTCAGAATGTGATTATTTCAGTAGTCTGACAACATGAGAACTAGCAGACAGGCATACATTGATATTATCATTAGGTAGCCATAGTTTATCACTTTATCAATTAACAGGCTTTCTTGATAAGTGATAATTAGATATTTAATCAACAAATAGCCCGAAATGCTACATTTGAATAGGAAACAGTAACTAATGATTTATATGACAAATTCCAGGGAATCAGAACAGTAAAACAATGTTTTGTTTAACATGAAAATAGTAACAAAGTCCATATATATGTATAATATATTATTACAGACTAGTCTTTTAATATAAGACAAAATTATATGACATTATGCAATAATAGAATAAGTAGTTTAAAAATCCTTATTTAATGGCATTCCAATAAAACTAATTCTTATATTATGCAATGCAAATTTCCAGTCCAAATTAATAGAAAATATCAGACTCCAATCAGATTTTCTATGTTAATTAAATCATTTATAGATTGTCATTTGCAACCCAATTGAAAAAAAAAACAATATTTTGTTGTTATACATTTCACAAAGTTAATAATGGATGACATAATTTTCCTCTTGATAAACACAATTAGTTAAAAACTTATTTAACAGTATTTAATGACAACATTAATTTTATTATCCTCCTTGCTTCTAATACCAATTAATTTGGTACTTTACTTTGTTTTTAAATTATATCTGAATGTTTTAGTAATACAAACAACCATTTTGTATATTATTTTAATCATCACTTGTTATAGATGGAGTGTTAATTACTATTTTAATTGAATGATACATAATTACATTGTGAGGCATTTCTACATTACTAGAAAACTACCAATCATAAGATAGTATTATCTTACGCATTTAAAGTGAAAATAGTACCAAATGTGATTTCATTTAATAGATATTTTTTGCTACAAATTTCTTAGACATGTAACAAATTATTTAATTCAATAATGGACTACTCTTTTATCTGCAAAACATGGTCACAATAAAGACCGTAAGATTTTTACCATTTTCCTTAACACATTTGTTAGTACATTATCTACTAACAAATGCGATAGGATTGCCGGGTTAATAGCACTTATGTTTCCTTACCAATTAGAGTGATTAACACTATATCTGCTAATGAACTTATTAAGGAATTAGCTACATTTGTATTAGAATTTAGTAAGCATGCCAGTGGGAATCTAATTAAATTTTGCTATGTAGTTGTACAATAATTTGGCTTTCTTGCCGCATTCTGAAATGTGTGTTAAATAATTTATCACGCTATTATCGGCGTTTACGAGTCAACAAGTGCTTCCAACACATATGTAGCCTCCCTGAACATTACCTAAGAGTCTAAAACTATTTTAACTGTTCATAAAAGTACAGCGAAGTAGAAACGTGCCAAAGTTGTAAACAGTGTACGTCTCTCGACCTGCCTAGTGGCCAAAAGTGGGACAACCGGCACCGCGCCCAGGTACCCCGCCCGCTCACCGCAAACACATTCCAATAAGAAAACCAACTTTTTTTCTACACAAACATATTACAAAAACAAGATTACGACTTAATTGTTTTATTTACTCTCTTCTCAATACCTGAACAATTTCTCAACATCGACAAAGCCAACGGAAACGCAAAAACAAGCCGTTACTACCTCCGTCTGGTCAAAAGCCGACAGAAAACGGTATTACAGACAACTTATTTTCAATGAGAATTGCATAAAAATTACCTGTTGATCAACAAGATCCCATTAAACACTGCACCGGCGACTCCAGAGACCTGTAGATTTTGCACTCGATGATTTTTCGGCACGTAAACACAACGGTCTCACAAAAGGGAGAACTGGTAAAAACACAACCACGAATCCACCTTTAGACGCACTGTATCACAATACACCTTATATGTCCGGTGCGGTGATGAGTTTATTATGTGAATAATACGCACTCGGGCTGTCTACAACAATTTTCATTCATCGCAAGGTGAAATCATTCGAGACGAGTGGCAGTTGGTGAAGAAACTACGAGCGCGGGCGGCAGGGAGCGCGCGCGTCATCCGCCATATTGGAGGATTACGTCATTTTGTCGTTACTTTTTTTTAAGTATGAGTAAGCTTCGAAAACTAGTTTTTCAACCAAGTAACGGATTGTTCATCATTTATTATCTACTCTTGTAAGTGTATCCGAACGAATCATTCATATCATTCGGTCATTCGATTTAGTTCATTCTTGTATAGTGCTGCCCATCTAAAAAACCAAACTTAAAAATAGGGAATCCACTAAAATTTTTCTGACTAAAATTATTTTTAAATAAATCACTTATTTTTATCAGGTTGATATTAAACATTCGTAGGGTGGCCGACCTGCGGCCACCGTAGGGCGCGGCCTGTGGACGACAGACTCGGGGCGTCTTGTCGTCTGACCAGCAGCAGGCCTCGAGGCGGCGGCGCCGTGTTCCGCGCGCGCCTCATAGTGGAGTCCTGCGGTCGGGGTGACGGCCGCAGTGGGTGACGGGGCCCGCCTTACCATCTGGCGGGCCAACACCCGTCGGGGGGTTGCGATGAATGCTTCGGCGATACCCGCCCCTCCGACACATGGGTTATTGGAGGAACACCGGGTTGGTTTTTAGTCAGTAAGAGTCTGACAGTACCCTTCGCCCTTCCCCGAGGGCGATGGGTCTCCATGAGGATTTTCCAACCCGACACCAAAAAAAAAAAAAAAAAGGTTGATATTAAACATGATTTGGTTATAAAACGAAAATATTTCATTTCAAATTTCAATTAATCAATTTAGTTTGATTTTAGACATTCCTGTTTAGTGTAAAAATGTCGATTTTTGTTCAATAATGTGTTAATTAAAGTTTTGAACCTGGCGACACTGACTATGTAGTGGTCACAGAGAATACATACAATATAATGTCAAAATTGATAAGATAGTAAGGCATTTGTCATCATCTCTGTTTATAATCGAATAAAAATATAATTCGACAATATTTTATCAAAACTTTGATTTGCCGTAGTGATTCTACGATTTAAGTGAACTAATAATTTGTTTACAAGAAAGATATAAAAATGCAGGGTAAGTATGGCTTTCCGGAGTAATATTATTTCATTGTTTGCCTTTGTTTTCGATTTTCTGAAGTTATTACTCATACTTTTTATTTTACAGACACAAGACCAGAATTATACGAGGAAGTAAAGCTTTATAGAAATGCCAGGGAACGTGAAAAGTAAGTAATATTATATCTTTGTGATACATACGCAAACATATATTGAATCAATCTTATTAGTTTTGTAGCTATTTAAGAGTAATCAATGTAATTAGATTACAAAAATAGGCACCTACAAAGAATGAAACTTTCCCAAGCATTCGAATAACAATATTTCACAAGCATTGAAATAGCAATAGGGAAAGTTTAAAGTCCTATTCACATTGTTTTTAAAAGCATACACCTATTTTGATTTACATAATAATGACTTCTAATTTCATATTTTAAGATTTATCATAGAAGTTTATTGCTCACAATTTTCACTTTTCCAGGCATGACAATATGGCAGAGCTGTATGCAGTGGTCAGCACACTGCAGCATCTTGAGAAGGCGTACATGAGGGACTGTGTACGAGCACAGGAGTACACAGCAGCTTGCAGCCGACTACTGGTGCAGTACCGTGTAGCTTTCAAACAAGTACAGGCTGATGAGTTCCCCAACATTGAAGCTTTTGTTGCCAAGTACAGAGTGAGTTGACTTTTAAGTATAGTTTGTTTTTAGCTTCATTTCTTACTTCAGGATTGAATTTTATCTTTATTGTGGCGCTGGATAAACTGCATGGTTTTAATGTTTAGGTCTAAAACATTCATAAGATCCACATTCTGGTAAAAATTTTCAAACTAGCTTCCACCCATGGCTTCAACTGCTTTGTATCTTGACAAAAGTAGCCTATTCAAGAGTATCCTATGCCTGTGCTCAATTTCGTAATTGAGTAACAAACATCCAACCATCATTTTTATCATTTCTCATTTATAATATTAGTTTATTAGTAAGTCGATCAAAGATCATGTGAACGAAAGTTACGCAAAAGGGTGGTCACAACCCTGAGCAATGAGAAGGGGGACTCAAGAGAGGAATAGTCGAAACTTTATTAATCAATCACCAATTGTACTGCAGTCAGAAGAGTTTTACTAATTTGTTATTTTCAGTACTATGTTTCTTAATACATAGCCTTTAATTAGATTCTTATTTCATATTATAATATTCCAGTTGGACTGCCCAGCTGCTCTGGAGAGGATAAGGGAAAACAAACCTAACCTCATCAAAGATGACAAAGGAAACACCAACAAATACATTGCTGAAATTGTCTCGGTAAGTACTGGTCATTATAAAATACTCAGAAAAGAATATTTTCTAGTTTTTATCTATACTATTATTATAAAGAGGTAAAATTTGTAAGTTTGTATGTAGGGGTAATCTTTGGAACCGCTGTTTATATATAGCCTTTTATTCAGATCCTTAACTTACATTATGTTACATTTACATTTTATTACACAAAGATTTTTTTTTTTATTAAAGTTTGAAATTAGTCTATTATTTGTTGTTTGGTGATCTTTTGCAGATCTGTTTGCCAATCGGCAAAGGCCTCCTCCAACCTTTTCCATTCTGTCCTTACTTGAGCCACTCTGTTCCAAGTCACACCCGCTACCTCTTTGATGTCATCGTCCCATCGTTTTTGCGGCCTCCCTCTCTTCCTTTTCCCTTCCCTTGGTTGCCATACTGTTACTTTTTTACTCCATTTATCATGACCTCTTATCATGTGACCTGCCCATCTCCATTTGAGTCTTTTGATTTTCAGTGTAACATCTGTGGTTTTAGTTTTATTTCTAATTATATTGTTTTTTACTCTGTCTGACCTCTTGATACTCAGCATACTCCTCTCCATAGCGTGTTGGCAGGTTGTAAGCTGGCTTGTCAATTCTTGAGTTATAGTCCATGATTGGCAGCCATATGTAAGAACAGGTAGTATACAAGTATTGAACAGTTTCCTTTTGATAGTGATATGAAGTGTTTTGTCTTTCATAACTTCTTTTAAGCTCCAGTATCTTTTCCAACCGTTTGTAATTCTCCTTTTTACTTCCGCGCGCATAGGTTCCTTTTGTGTTATGACCTGACCAAGATAAATGTATTCATCAGAGTAGTTTATTTCTGAGTTTTCCAACGTTATTGGGGTCTTCTTTCCATTTGTCATCAGTCTTGTTTTTTCCGGGTTGAGTTTTAGTCCTACCTTTTCGCTTTCAACCGCAAGGTCTTCTATCATTCTATTGATTTCTTTAGATGTTCTGGCAAATAGGACTATGTCATCAGCGAACCTCAGATGTGTAAGCCACATACCGTCAACATTAATCCCCAAACTTTCCCAACTGCGTCGCCTGAAAACTGATTCAAGTACAGCGGAGAATAGTTTAGGCGATAGGGGGTCTCCCTGTCTAACACCTTTTCCTATTTTAAATCGAACCGCTGTTTAGATTGCCAAAATTCTTTCACTGATAGATAGCTACAATGTTCCTGAGTGCTATAGGCTATGAAACATCACGCTACGATTAAATGGAGCCGAGCAGCGGGTGAAACCGCGCGAGAGTAGCTGATTGTAAATAATTTAGATGTAGGCATAATCTGTCTGTGAATCCTCTGATATTATCAAACATTTGTGTCGTTTAATTATATAGACCCCCACAAATAAGTCTTATTTACTAACTTTCAAGAAATATTATAAACATTTTTGTGTGAAGTTATAATTCTCATGCATCCATAAATTCTCACAAACTTTCTCATATAGTAGGATAGTAGAATTCATGAAACTAGACCTTAGGCTATCACTCTCTTGCTAATACGGTAGTTTCCAACTAGCCAAATTCAATACTTTTATCCAAATGTCAAAAACGATACTTTTCTATGAAACACTGAGTTATGACGTCATAGTATTTTTGCGTCAAATAGCTTACTTATTTCTTAAAAAAATAACTAAAATCTAAAACTTAGTGTATCGATCGATCAATGAATACAAGTATAGTTATTTTTCAAAATGTTATTAGTAAGTAAGTAAGTATATTTATTTGTTTATACATGGTATACATACATGGCATGCAAGATATTACAGTAGAAAGAAAGTTCAAACATGTTCAGCCGCGTGTCGTGGCGTACAAATAGTTGTATTGTATTGAAACATCAAATAATTTATTTTTTACCTAGGAAACTACCCAATTCCAGACTTTTTCTTACATATCCTCTGCAACATTAAACATTTTTAGCAATGACTTTAATTATAATCTTCAGTTATTCATAACCCTGATGGACAAACTCCGCCTGGAGTTCCGCGCTATGGACATGATCCAGCCAGAGCTGCGTGACCTCCGCGATACCATGGACCGACTCATCATGCTGCCTGAGGACTTCGAGGGGAAGATCAAGGTACACACACGTTTTACATGTTAGGAATTCTGAAATGTCTGTTTTTTTTCGAAACGATTTGATAAAATCGGTTTATAAATAACAGAAATATCTATATAATAGATGAATTAAGAAATTCCCTTTATTTTGGAAGTCTGTTAAAAATAATCAAATTAGAGTTTTGACAAATAAACTTTTTTTTTGTATCAGGCAACAATGATCTTTATTAAAATAAGATTATACACTGTACAGTTCACTGTACTGAAATAAAATGTTTTAGGTAGTTTACTGCTAGCCAAATTCACTACTTTTCCTGAAGTGAAAACTAATTATGAAGTTTGTGTCAAACAAGAAACGTCACTACGTGCTAACGTTGTGACGTTGTTTTATGAAAACTGTCGTTGTATGCTGTTTTATACAAAATTATTTCATTTTAGCTTTTACTGGCTTAAATTTCGCCTCTTAATTTAATTTTATTTTTGCTGGCATTCCTAAAACTTATCCTTCAACTGTATCAAAATTCTTAAAAATATTTTTTCATAGTACTGTCTATCTACAATGTTAGAATACTATTGAAGCCTTCCTTCCCTGCAGGTACAAGAGTGGGTGGACAAGCTGTCCGAGATGTCAGCATCGGATGAGCTGTCGGAGAGTCAGGTGCGGCAGCTACTCTTCGACCTGGAGACTTCATACGGAGCATTCAACAAGTTCCTGCACAAGGACTGAGAGGAGTCATTGGTTAGTAAATAAAGATTCTAGGATGTAAATATTTCTTAAAATGTTTCACTAATTTTAGTCTGGTGTTGTAAACAGTTCAATAAATAAATATCTAACTGAATGTAACACTGTCATTACGAACAAGATTATAGCATCATATGCAAAAATCACAAATTGGAAAAACAACTAAACAACACTGAATGACAGACAGAAATTGGTGGCAACAAAATATGTCACTATAGTACCATATACCACTATAGTATATAGTATAGTACACTATCGCCCAGGATGCTAAATTTATAGTTACTCAAGCGTCGTAGGGAGTAACTGGGGGGAATGATATTTTTCTAAAAGCGTAAGGTGAAACTTTTGTTTTGGTGCACGAGCGGGACAAATATTAATAATGTATCTCCGTGTATCTCTGACAATGAAAATATTTTAATCTGCCAAATTGCATGGTGGGATTAACTAACTAAGGGAATAGAAACGGGAACCGTTCAAAACTTTATTGCTGTGGTAAACCACGATGATTTTTTAAACGCCCTTTCTTTGACATGATGTCTCCCTTTTCACCCCTAATCTGGCGAAAACGACTGTATTTATATTGTTACCCCCCCCCCCTCCTCTATTTACATTAAGTATGTGATGAGTATATTCAATAGGTTACTAAATATTCCCCATATTGTTAATCTGACGCGCTCGAGTAACTACCGAAATTCCTTCATGGGCTCCCTACTACTATTTCTAAATTGGACTTTCAACCGTTTCGAACATATAAACTATTAAAAAAACTATTCAGCGTCTGATGCACGGAATAGATAAATAAGGTTGGAAAGGCCCTAGCTCCAATTTTGTATTAGGACCAGTGTCGCCGCTTGTCTCCCACTATTTTAATTTCTACACATACGCACTAGTATGTTTACAAATATTTCGCACACAACCAAATCACACACACATAAATCTCAGGGCAGAGATTCGTTCGCACACTACTCTAAGGTCTCGTAGGCATAGACACACACATGCAAAAAAGCTCATACGCGCTAGTGCTTGATAAAGTCGATATTCTTTATCGATAAATATCTGATGAATGCATGGGAAAAAATGAAACATGAAATAAATATTAAGAAATATTTATTTTACTTTTATTAATTACAAATAATCACTGTCCTTGGAATAAAACGTATTTATTAAGCAATTGGCGCTTGCTATCAATGGTTAAAGAGTTTTTCAAAACAAAGTGTAACCTTACGTTAATATATTTTTCAACAATTGCTTTGGTGAGGTCTGTGACGTGGTTTGCTGTAGGGTATTGGCCAATTTGATGATAAATTATGTTTTTAAATATTTCACTTCCTACAAAATGACGCATAATTTTTGCCATCAACATTTTTTTGTTTATATTACGGAGGTTTTCCGTGTAAATTTTGATAACAGACTCTGAAATTTTACAAATCTGTATCAAATCTCTTGACGGGTATAACAGACCACCCTTATCTTTAGCAACTATAAATTTATGGTCTTCATTTATGCTATTGGACAACAGCGCTCCAATGCAAATATCACAATCTATTTTCTTAATTAAAATATGCGCTATGTATCCTGAAATATGGCTAATGATTTGATTGCTAAAATCTGAGATGGTATTGAAAAATGCGTTAATATCCTCTTCATTATTATTATTATCATCATCATCATCGTCATCTTCAATCGCAATCCTTCGTATGGATCTATTAATCCGTGCTACAGGAGATGATGCACAATCAAGAATTGAAATGTGTTCAAGCGCAGTACAATTTCCACTATCGAGAGCTTTTAACTCAATATGAACTAAAAGTTTTTTGTACGCAGCTTTAAACTGGCGGGCCGTGGGGTTATTGTTACCTCCACCATGTGACCTAATATTTCCAAAAAGCATTTTAAGGTGATCCTGGCTTACTTTGTAAAATGGCATAAAAATCAGAACTCCAGGACGTATTAACGTTTCATAAAAATGTTTAACAGCTTCAGCACATCCAATAAAACCATTGAAACCAGTCTTACGTAAACTTTTTGTCAAAAGAGTTCCCTCTTCTGTTCTCAACTCGGATAGGTACGTCGTCGCCATGTCTAAATAATTAAGCAGCATTGCAGCGTTGGATTCTGTTAGAGCTTTTTTGAAGTTATATTCATATGTGTTTCGGGAATTAAAAATGTCGAACATGTTATTGATAATCCTCAAAAAAAATGTTGTGCTTTCACTATTTTTGAATGAAGGTAGATTTAATTGGTCACGACAAAAGTCTATAGCGTCTGCTACACTTAGGCTGAACAATTGCGTTGCGAGCTTAACTTTCATCTTATTATTTTGAAAATGAACATGATGGTAACGAAGCTTGTTCGCTAAATGAAAGCCTTCCTTCATTTGAAGGTTATTTAATTGTTCCAAAAATCGCCATTCTATGGTATTACCATCTTTATCTAAAAATGTGTTATAGCATTGAAAAGCATTACGGATTAATTTTATCATGTGTGATGGGTCTAGCACTACAACAACTGGATTATTCGTTGACGGGTGTGGAAAAGAAATTTTTTTATCTTTGATTGAACAGTTTAAGCATTCTACCATTGCAATGTTTGCAGCGCATCCATCAAAAGTTAGGGAAATTATTTGTATGCCTGTTTCTGCTATAAGTTCCAAGCATTGTAAAATTAAGTCTGCGCGTTGTCTTCCGTTAATTCCGTCAACTAAGAAATATCCAACGGGAACCTTAAAATTACAATTTATGCCTGTCACCAGAAATACCAGAGCCTCTTTGGCTATTCCTACGTGGTCTCCTTCGATGCCACTGCCAATATCAACATGTCCGAGTAATTTTTTTCCATCCCATTCTATACGACGACGTATAGCCATTTCATCCAAGGAAAGGGCTGCAATAATGGGATATTTCGTGCTTTTCACTTTTATTTTTAACGCCTCTATGGATTCTGCAGTAAAACCAGGATCACCTCCCATATTTTGGTACCATTTTCGAAGCGTACGGCGATCCGGGAGGCAAGTATCAAAAGTTTTGCGTACGTATTCATACGCCTTAGGCGAATAATAGTCAAGTGTTAGCGCAAAACTACGCAGAGCTGGACTATATTTTTGCTTAGATGGGCCACCACCAGTACTTTTTGCTATCATACGATTTGTCAGTTCTTGTATCTGTGAATAAAATTAAAATAATATATCTTCATTATCTCTGTTATTTTTATAAGGCCACCTCCATCGATGTAGCCAGCAATATTATTATTTTTTTGTCGTTTTTTTGCAATTTACAGGTAAATTTCAGCTTGTATCTTGATGAAAATTTAATTCGTGACAATAACAAGTATGTATTTACATAATTATAACCATAAGAATCATCAATACAAGCTGAAACTGACCTGTAAATTGGAAAAAAAGACAAAAAAAAATAAATTTCACGGGCAGAGGAATCACCTTAACATTTAAATTTTTTAGAACAGATATATCTTCGTCCTGCAATGAAAATTTTTTTTGAAGATCATTTAAAACATCTTGCATTTTATTAAATTTTTTTTTCAGTCTTCGGTTTTGTGCCTGTATCCTTCTTATCTTCAACCTCTGTTTCTTTATTAAACATTCTTTGTTGACGATTATCTTTTGTAGCTTTCTTTTCCTAGGAGTGCTTGCATTTGAAGATGACATTACGCTTTCCTACAAATAAATGAATGAATGAAACATTTGCGGAACAAGTGGTTTGTGAAATCAATAATATATATGAATCGTTGCTTGTCAAGTGAAAATTTGTGAAATAAGCTTTGGAGAAACATTAGTAAACCCATTAATCTTTAAAAAAACAACTATGAAACGATTTTTGATCAATCTTTGTAGGTATAAATTAACTTACTTCAGTGTATTTTCTTTTTAAATTTTTATCTCTTTTTGGTGTCAACGTCAACAAAGTTGAAGATGAAGCCTGTGCTTGTAAATCCTAAAATTATAAATAGCATAAAATATCTTGAAAAGCTGACTTTACACGAGCGATTATAATTCAAGATAACATATAAGTATTATGTTACCTGAGTGCCTTCGCAATTTTGCACACTGGCGGAAATAGCAACGTAACTGGGCTTATTAATTATAGCATTGCAAGAATTAGTTGTCTGAAAAATAATGCAAAAGTCTTAATATGCCACATAAACTTACAAAGTAGAAAACAAAAAATCAAAATTAAATTATTTTTAAAGAGCTGGAAGCTTGGATGATAATCATTTACCGGAGTGTGATATTAATCTACAGTAATAATTATTATAAGATTCCATACATACTCAAAATATATTTCATGAAAATTAACAATCAAATAAAATAAAACCTAAAATCAGATTTGTTCATAATGTAGGAGACAATAAATAGTAGTAGAATATGAAATATGGGACAAACTTCCAACAAGTTAGTAATAAATTTTGACAAAACCTACCAAAGAACTTGAACAAATCTGAACAATTTGTTCTCTTGGGATCGTCCCTGGTTTTAGGTACCTATAACCTGATTTTTTAATGATAAAATCATTTTCAGTAAAATGTTTAGAGCAAATAGTACTCGTCTTTGTCGGCATCCAGTTTCCTCTACCTGTCACGTCAATCCATTGTTCTCGGGCGTTAGGCTCTTTAGGAAACCTAAAATGTATAATTTATTGCTGAAGTAAAATTGCATTTTACTTATATTTTAAATACTAAACACAATATAGCAAATACTTGTAGATGACAGATCTACAGGGTGAAATTGCATTCATAGGCAATATTTTTCAGACTTATCAAAATGAAGGGAACAGCCGTTTTTCTTTCGTGATTTCAGGTTTGGTCCCGTAGTAAAAGTTGTTCATAATGATGAGTACAATGACCTCTTAAAGTATTGCCAATAATTCAATTTAACCCTATGTCCCTTTATATCATTCGGTCACATTCATTCAATGATTTAATATAACATTTAATTTACTCATTATTCGAGTACGTCTAACTAAAAATATACTATCATTAAATAATCCAAAAGTTATCTTTATCAAACGTAAATATAAATTATTTGAGAATTCTATCGATGATTTTATTTAACGACAAGGTCACCTCACTATCGATAAACATGGCGCCTTGCATCACAGCCAATCAGAGCAAAGGACGAAACGAAGTGTAAAGAACGCAATGCATGCAGTACATTGTAAGCGGACTTGGTCATTGCGTTGATTAAGCGAGTACACATCGGGCAATGTATATTTTTTTGTAACTTGTTGCAATAATATTGTTAATGTTTGGAATTTCATAATGATCAGAATAATTTTATGTTTTTTACTAATTAAATGATAATTAAATGTTATTTTCGACTTACCGATGGAAAGATATACCTCCTCGCTCTATACTTGCGGTTTGACTTTTTGTTTTACAAGTTATAATTGCACAACACGGCATTTTAAAGCAGAGCTCTGTTCTACGAAGTAGCCCGAAGCGCAACAAACGCGGTGAATGAATGAATCGGTCGAGTTATGATTTTCGAATCATAATTGTGGCGCGCTCGCCCCGCCCACATTACCATTCCAACCTTATTTATCTATTCCGTGGTCTGATGTATAAAAGTGCCTTTTAAAAGTGCCCAACTTTTAATCATGGATTTTTACATATAAAGTTTTTGAAATACTCAAACTAATTCTAATTACAAATTATAAATATAAATAAAAATTCCAATCTTTGTATTTTCTATTTCAGATGTGATCAGCTCAATCGCGTTGTGTAATCACCAGTAGCTTGTTTACGTGAATATTATCAAATTGTAAAGTATATAACCTAAATATAAATGTTGTTTCAAGTGTATTTTAGTTAATTGTTCACCGGAGTCTGTATTTCCCGAAGGCTTTAATTGGGTTGTCCTCAAGGCCCGAGTAAATAGGTTGCTTATGGGTAGTCGTGCTCCGTCGTAGGTCCCATCATCGCTTACTGCCAGGCGAGATAGCGGCCAATAGCTAACCCAGAGCAAATAAAAATATATATATGTAAGTAGTTACACTGCATATCAAACTCATTGCAAAATTAGGAACCTACTTTCCTTATTTTTCTTCTAATAATATATCAGAAAATTATTCACACTGTCATTGAATTATTTACACAATATACAATTTACATGTAGATTTTTTTCGTAAGAATGCATCATTATTTTCGTTAAATAGCATACCTACCTATTTGACATTGAATATAAATATATGTGACGTCACAATATACAGGCTCTAGACTGTAAATTGTCGCGGGTCTGCGGACGGCGAGTAAGGGTAGCTCGCCGCCCGACCAGAACCGGACCCAAGCGTACGGCGCGTAGCGTTCCGCGCGCGCCTCAAAGAGCCAATAGACCACCACAGTCGGGGCCCTAAAGGGCTGATGTTTAGCCGGGGCTGCGGGGTAAGCGCAATGAGGCACCGCGACCTCGGCCCAGAGCAGGAGAAGGAACGGGGGGGTTTTTAGTCAGTAAGAGTCTGACACTCTCTCTCGCCTTACCCTGGGCGGGAGAAGTCATTGGATGATTTTCCCCTGACAAAAAAAAAAAGACTGTAAATTGTGATGTCACATTCTATGAATATAGAAATTGACAGTATTCTATATTCATAGAATACTGTCAATTTTGACTATTCGAAATCAAAATAAATAAGTATTGGACATGACTTATATGAGGATGTAAAGTACCTACAAAAATTTTATTGTCTAGTGTGACAAACGAATTTAACTTTTAATGTCCAAAAGTAAAAAAATTCAAAAGAACGTTTCGTATGCCTATTTTGCTCATCATTCCGTGATTTTGCTCAGTTTGTAGCCCTTTTGAAGAAGTCACAATAACAAAAAAATTTGAAGATTAAACAGTATCAAAATCTAATCAGTCCGTCAGTTACATAATGAGATAATATTAAACACGATTTTTTTATTTGGTCGTTTAATAAAAGAATACAACACAACGCTCAGTGTGTACCTACTGAGTCGTGCCGTCACACGACATTTACGTATAAAGCTAAAGAGTGTTTGAAAGTGCTAATCTCTGGAACTACTGATTCGAATAAATCATTCTTATTGTGTTAGATAGAGTATTTATTGAGAAAGGTTATAAAAAATCAAGCTACGGCCAAGAAGTCAAACTTCAGCTGTATAGGTAGGTACCTACAAATATTATTGTTTTATTTAGTTTGTATCTGTAAGGCAACGGTTTTATCTAAATAATTGAAACTCATACGATTTATTATAGATATTGTAATGTCATTGTATTGTTAAGTAAATTTACTACGAATAAATTTTATATTCCACACATACAAGGTTTTTATTTTAATTCTCTAATATTAACGCTTGAATAAGTATGTGTACGCTGCATCATTTTTTCGATTATATATAATATCGAATACCTAAGTCTGCTAACAACTTTATAAAATAAATGTAGATAGGTGTAAACATCAAATGACTCTCCGCCACGGTAATAAATAATTAATTAACCCTCTCTGATTTTGTAGTTATTTTAGTGACGTATCTGTTCATTCTTTATCAACGTATTGCCTCAGACGCGGCGAGAGGGAGTCTTATTCCTCCATGGAGGTTGTGCCAAACTCTTACTAAAAAGCCACCAGGGAAGCAAAGATAATATAAATAGCAGCCCGCGCCAAACTTTGTGACCGCCCTGAATATAGTCGCGAGTCCGAATACGTAATCAACCAATTTTCGTTTTCTAACATTTTATACTGGTTGATTACGTATATACTAAAATTGGTTGATTACGTATTGCCCACTCGACTGTACCATGCGCAAGTTCGGACTCGCGACTATATTCAAGGCGGCCACAAAGTTTGGCGAAAGCTGTACTACGTATACTGGGACGTGTGGAAATGTACGTTGCCTATATATACATACTTGATATCCTTTACACGAACCCTAGTCGCAACCGTTCGGCTGAATATTTCAATTACTGTCCAACTTATAAAATTAATTACCATGAACTATTAATTTTAGATAGCAACATTTTATTATTGTTACAATAGAACATATGCAAAATTGGCTTTAACTTTAGGGGAATAAGTGTAGAGAGATTTGGCTTTTTGTTGCCGTAGTTGTTATAGTACTTTCAGCCTGTGTTTTAGCCGATATAAAAAAAGCATTCCTAAGTTACTACTAATTAAAACTTGGTTCTTTTCATTCTGAATTCTCTCTCGTTATATTAGAGGCCAAAACCGAATGACAATTTACTGTGATGAGCTGTTCTTACAGATTCAGTGTACTCGTACTCATAATTATAGCTGTAATTAGTTATTTAGAGGTGAGTAGCTAATGATTTGTATCGAGAACTACCCCTTAAGTAGAATATTACGTTCCGTTACTGTGGATACTCCTATTCATTTCATAAACTTCTAAGATCCTGTGAAGTGTGGGAGAGCTAAGCTTCAGCACGAATGGCTTGGCTCGACCGGAGTGGTACCACGGTCTCACAGAAAACCAGAGTGAGACAACAATAGCGTTGTGTTCCCGGAGTCCCAATCCTTACCTTTCCCCAACCCCTAAATCTTTAAAAGATCGGCAACGCACTCGTTACTCCTCAGTTGTTGTGTTGGTGCGCGAATTGCTTATCATCAAGTATTCCGTACGTTCGTTTGCCGTCCTGTCAATTAAAAACAAAACCTATCCGTAACTTCAGACCCAAATCTGCCCGTGTACTATGTGAACTAAATCTTGTCAATAATTTAATTATCTTAGGAATAGCTAAACAATTTGTAGGTCCTTATGTTCGAAAACACTATTTAACAGGCGGTCTTCCAGGACTCCTGGTCCATTACTCAAAAAGTCACAATCAGTAGAACCAGAGTAGCATAGCAGCATATATAAGGTTTTTTTTTTTGTGAGGGGAAAATCATCAAATGACTTCTCCCGCCCAGGGCCGGGCAGGAGGGAGTGTCAGACTCTTACTGACTAAAAACCCCCCTGTTCCTTCTGCTACTCTGTGCCGAGGTCGCGGTACCTCATTGCGCTTACCCCGCAACCCCGGCTGAATATCAGCCCCTTAGGGCCCCGTCTGTGGTGGTCGAATGGCTCTTTGAGGCGCGCGCGGAACGCTACGCGCCGTACGCTCGGGCCTGGTTCTGGTCGGGCGGCGAGCTGCCCTTACTCGCCGACCGCAGGCCCGTACTTACGGTGGCCGGAGATCGTCCCTCGATCCCCGACGCCCGTAGTGTCGCCAGTTGCGGCTGCTGGGGCGTGAGGAGGAGGATTTCTCCCTCACGCGGGCCGCCTCTCTCTTTGCGAGCATGACTGCTTCACAAAAGGAGGAGACGGCGTCCCAGTTCCTCTCACTCCGCACCATGGCCTCGACTAAGGCCGGGCGCGAGAGGTCGCCGCCGCCGATCACTTCCCTGAGGATACGGCGGTGCTCAGCCCAGGCAGGGCATACCGCTACCGTATGCTCCACCGTATCCTCTAGGTGGTCCTCACAATGACGACACTCGGGCGTTTCCTCCCGCTGAATCCGAAACAGGAACCTACCGAAGCTGCCGTGCCCGGTAAGCACCTGCGTCAGACGGAAGGTGAGGACGCCGAGGCGTCTCTCAAGCCACTCCTCAAAGAGCTCCTAGGTCTACCGCTGCTATGGTAGCGTGCCCGGCCCTCGGTTGCGACAGTCGTTGTTTCCACTCTGCCATGAGATCTCGCCGGAGCTCATTCCGCCACGCACTAATTTGGCGCGGCAGAGGATCTTCGCCCCGGCGACGCGCGTCTGCGCGCAAACTGTAGACGCGCGCGAGCGCCTTCGCTTCTAGATCCCACGGCGGTGATCCGGCAAGGAGGTTCGCCGCCTCCCCGGAGATCGTGCGGTACCCGCGGATTACTCAGATAGCCATGACCCTCTGGGACGCGACCAGCGTACGAGCCGGCCGCCGCTTCAAGTCCGGCGCCCACACAGGGGCACCGTAGAGGGCCATGGATCGCACAATCCCCATATACAACCTCCGGCAGGAGGCGTTTGGCCCCCCGAGGTTGGGAAAAAGCCGCTTGAGCGCGGCCCCAGACCGTTCTAACTTAGGGGCCAAACGACGAAAATGCTCCGTGAAGTTCCATCGGCTGTCGAGGACGAGACCCAGGTACTTCATCGCCGACTCGACGCCGATGGTAACTCCTCCTGCCGTTATTTGGGACCCACCTGGAGGTGGCGCGCTCCGACGGCCATAGAAACACATGGCCTCGGACTTGTGGAGCGCCACCTCGAGTCCCAACTGCCGGATCCTTGCAACGACTGTCGCAACCGCTTGTGACATCAGGTCGGCCGCCGCCTGATGCGACCTCCCGTTCGCCAGCACCAGCGTGTCGTCAGCATAACAGACAATGCTGACGCCGCTCGGGAGGTCGGTGCGTAGCACCCAATCGTACCCGATGTTCCACAGAAGAGGTCCCAGGACCGATCCCTGTGGGACACCGCGCGACACCTCTCGCCGATTCCACACGCCCCGGTGACCGGGGTAGATGACGCATCTGTCCGTCAAGTAAGCCTCGACTACACGACGGAGATAGGCAGGCACCCGGTGATACCGGAGTGCCTCCAAAATGCAGCTCCAGGGCAACGAGTTGAAGGCGTTGGCGATGTCCAGAGACACCGCCACGACGACTCGCCTCCCGGCCAACGCTGTCCCCGTCGTGAGGTCCCTCACGCGCATGATGGCGTCCACCGTGGAGCGCCCTCTGCGGAAGCCGAACTGGCCGTCCGCTTAATCCGGCCCCCTTCCAGACAGGTGCCCGACGAGGCGGTCTGAGATTATCCTCTCGAAAGCATATATAAGGTAGTCAGCTTAGTTAAAAAAATATCAATGACTTATTGATTCCGCAGTGCGCAAACAATGTGTTCCAAAAAATGGACAAGAAATACTACCTGGTGTCCGAGGCTTACAATATGGCGAAGAATCTCTTCAACCAGGGTCGTGCCAACTACATCAGTTTGAAGAGCAAGTCCCTCAGAACCATTGACACATTCCTCGACCTGGTGTACATTATGAATGATGAGATGTCCAAAGAGTTGAGGAGTGCTGTGCTGAAATTCTATAAAGTGAAATATCTGCATGACTTTACCAATTACATTATTACTATGGAAGAGGTATGTATGAAGGTGGAATGTGTTTTTTCGTAGTCTTAAAAAAAATCCAATCCCTCCCCCTGCCTAATCCTTAAATATCCAAAACCCTTATCCCTAAAAGGCCGCCTACGCATTCGTAACTCCTTTGGTGTTGCCAATGGTCGGGGCTGATTGGTTACCATCAGGTAATCTGATAGCTCGTTTGCCGACGTATACCGTATCATTATCACCGTAGTTTCATTGTCATCAGCCTGATTCTGTCCACTGCTGGACTTAGGCCTTCCCAATTACACGCCATTCGAGGTTCAGCTTTTTTCATACAACCACTCGTGCGACTGCGGATGCGGATATCGTCAGTCCACATAGCCCTTCACTAAGTTTGCCTAGACGTGGTCTCCACTTTAGAAAATGCCTACCCCCACGGTCATCTTAGAAAAAGTTTAGTACGGTACAAAAAAGTAAAAATGTGCACCGCGACCTTACGCGATAGTGCTAGGCTGCTAGGTATACCTATCCATAAAGCCAGGTACTCTAGTTGAAGAGCCGTCGATTGGTACCTAAATTAATCCTTTCTTTGATTGTTGTTTGCCCAATGCCCAACACTCATTTGTTTTATAACTAGACCTAGGTCCTACTTACTAACCTACCTATTCTTGGGTCAGCACCAGAGTAGTCCTCTAAGCCCGAAAGCTGTTAGCGCATCTTGATATAGATAAATAGATACTATAAATAAATAGTAGGTATCCATAGTCACAGAACAGAAATTTAAAGAGATGATCTCTACCTACCTACAGATGATAGAAATTATAGAGCATTGCCTAATAGATCCGATGGAGAAGTTGGATCAGATCAGGTCACAATTCCACGACGTCATCAAGAACTTTCAGGACGTGAGGAATTTCGACTCTGTGAACAAGTGCCACAAGGAACTGCCAGACGAGGTAGCTGCCGCTCACTGCTTGCTGCATCAGGCCGTACTGTAAGGAACAGACGTAATAAATCTTAATTATTATTTATGTTTTGGACCATGGGTTAGACAGACGGTCAAAACATTTGAAAGTACATAAAAGAAAAAATGTGTTAAAGCAATATAGATACGATGTACCTAAACCTGTAAACGCAGGTAAACGCAGAAATGGCTATTCCTTGCCATGCAGCACTGCATGCAACTTGCAGCAGTTTAGCCTTTGTTAATGGCTTCGCACATCAGTAATTCTGTCCGTCTAAGAGGCAGTCACCACTCCTTCTCGTAACCGTACGACATTATGAGCGCCCAGCGTCTAATAAGGGCCAGCCGCTGTTTGAGGCTGTTTCTTGGGGACTTTGACCGTTTAAGACACTTGCATGGTGACTGGTGCTAGACGAAGAAGAAGTCTATTACGGAGATTGTGGCGCGTGCGGAACGCGACTTGCGTTCACTTTAAAAAGTTATAAGTAAGTAGGTATTGACAACATTCGAAAATTAAGTTTCTAATTACTGGTTATTTTTCTTAGCTTTAACGAAACGATGCAAGAAAGTTTGGTAACAATAGTGGAAATAAAGACGAGGCAACACGCTCAGGATATGAACCACTCGTTGTACAACGTGCAGACGTGCATCAGCAACTTTGTGCCAAAGTTCTTTGAGCAACTTATGCTCGATGCTTACACGGAAAAGTGCGGCTACCTCCGAGTAGTCAACGCTTCAATAGCAGATCTAATTAAAGATAAGTGGAGAGGCAACGAAACGGTATTCCCGGAGAAATGGAGCCCCCTAGTGCGGTTATTGAAAGAGAAGTACTATTTAATTTTTAGGTTTTCCTAATTCTATTGACCTAAAATTACGATCAGAGGTAGGTAAATGTTTTCGTTTGTTACAGAACAAAGCAACCCATTAGTGCTTTAGAAGAACCACTACATTTGACACTTTTTGCGGCGAATCTATCATCTCAGGATATTGTCAGAACTTTGTACAAGTAAACAGTAACGCTACAAATATTAGACAGTAATAATCGTTAATATTTTACCAAAGGTATTCTCAAATGTACAGCTAATTTTATTATTGTCTTTATGTAGTTATGCTTATCACAATCAAAAACCAATAAAGCACGTTTTGCTCGTGTAAGTTTTAGTTTTCCTTGTCCATTGGGATGTGACGATAATAAGCTACGTCATTGTTTTACTGATTATGTGGTTTATTAATTAATGAGTGTGTTCAATCAGACGTTATAAATAGGTTTTATAGCAGTCGCGCCCGCCATGGCTGCAAGAACAAAAGAGTGAAACGAAACTTCAGCATTATCTGTCAAACAAAAGCATGTGTCAAAAAAACGCGCGTACGTTGTTTGTTTGTTGTCTAATCATGTTTTTGTGATTTTTGATCGAAAATTAGTTCAAACTGCCCAAAAATGACTAAAACAGTGCGTGAATTACTTCAAAATGGGCGGTCGTATGACGAAACCGATCGGATGCCGGATAAAATAACCATAAATAACTTGGATATTTTTATGTATCTAGTGGCTATTGTTGGTCATTTTGTGGATCTGGGTCTAGATATTAATATAGCTGTGAGGTATTCTATTGCCCTGAAAATGACGGAGTTCGGATGGACGCTGGCGTTTATCCTTGTGCCTGCATTGGTCAACACTGCTGTCTCAATAAGGATGTAAGTAGCTTTGTTTACATGCACTTAAACTAATTCCTATGTGAAATCATTTGAGTTGAATAGAATAGAGACATAAATCCTGAATTAGGAATGGATCACACATATATTATTCACTCAACCTATATTAAAACTTTCTCAAAAGTTCTTTGGAGAAACAGAAAATGTTGGATACAATCCAAGTAGGTAGTTAATAGCAGTTTTTTATAAGTTTCAGATTGTCTTTATTTAATTGAATCATAGTTATTTTTATTAAGCAAAACATGTGATTATTTATATGCATTTTCCTGTTATATAAAAGTTCATTTGTGACTGTGACTATGAGATAAAATTATATAAATAAACTATGTTGTTATGATAAGCTGAACAACTCTTTATTTATGTTTTCTAAATGGATTTGTAAACTTAATGTTCTTGAGTAGCCTTCATACCACTTTTTAAATCCTGAAGGAGTAGGTAGACAATCAGCTTTCCCAGCTATATATTTCCATGTACCATTCTCGCATTAAAACTTTTATTGATGTTAAATCTATAACAAACATGGGTGTCATTGGAGAGGCAACTATACTAGAGGGTTGATATTCATTAACATACTTTTTTAATGCAAAGATACAAGTATTTCCACTTATAACAAACTAACGAAACTAACTGGCTATTTGGGAATTAGGGTTTTAGGAGATTTAGGAGGAGAGAGAAGAAGATACCTTAGATGGGAAAACACAATGTTGTGATTTAACCCTGGTTTTTTGAGTGGCCCTGGTATCATTCCTGTCGACCCAACCTTGAACATTCTGCACTAAAACATTGCTGTAAATATGGCTTGAAATGAGGTACCTCGCCAAATGGTTACTAAATAGTTTGCTAATCATGATCTAAAATTATTAAAACTTTTTGGAAAATTTAAAATTACTATGATAATTAGATACTTATTTTAAAACATCCAAATGTCAATAGTATGTTGTATTAAAAAGCTTCCTTTCAATTACAGGTACTGTCTAGACAAACAACAGGAGTCTCTGTCTAACGAGTTTACCAAACGCAAGTGGGTCCGTATCTTCATACTAGTGTTGCAGCTGGCACCTATACTGCGATTCACTGATGCTCTGATGTAAGTTATTTTATTTTCAACCTTTTTTACGAAGTAGACTATTTTGCAGCACATTCAGTAAGAATGCAATAACAAACATACGTACACCATACACAGAAAGCGCAGGTCTGCGGTCGGCGAGTAAGGGTAGCTCGCCGCCCGAACAGAACCAGGCCCGAGCGTACGGCGTGTAGCGTTCCGCGTGCGCCTCAAAGAGCCAATAGACCACCACAGACGGTACCCTATAGGGCTGATGTTCAGCCGGGGTTGCGGGGTAAGCGCAATGAGGCACCGCGACCTCGACCCAGAGCAGGAGAAGGAACAGGGGGGTTTTTAGTCAGTAAGAGTCTGACACTCCCTCCCTCCTGCCCGGCCCTGGGCGGGAGAAGTCATTTGATGATTTTCCCCTCACAAAAAAAAAACCATACACAGAAAAACTACAAAAAAACGCTCTTTAATTCCATCATGGAACTTAGGAGAGCTACAGAGATGTTTAACCGTCAATCAATTTGTCTCGTTGTAGTCATAGCTGTCTTGCTCACAGTGGAATTAAAACTAGATATTTTTCTTGTCGTATTATTTGTAATCATCTGTAAAATCTGTATTTTAAAAGTCTTTTGGGATAGACCCATGTTTAGCAGACAATAATTATTTTGTGGCTCATATAATGCTGATGGTAAAAAATTTCTTATCGCAATAATTGGCATTTGTGGATTTAGAAATTAATTCTTTATCAAAGAAATATATTACGGAAAAAGTACACAGATTAATAAATGTGTGGAGTGCTCAACGTTTTTAAATGTCAACTAATACTAGCTACTATCACGCGGTTTCACCCTCTGCTCGGCTCCATTAGATCTTAGCGTGATGTTTTATAGCCCATAGCACTCAGGAACATTGTAGCTACCTCTTTATAACATTAGTATAGATTACAAATCAGTACTTTGTTTGTTTGAACGCGCTAATCTCCGAAACGACTGGTTCGAATCGAACAATAACTTTTGTGTTCCTTAGTCAATTTATTGGGGAAGATTCATCTAGGAAACATCACACTACGATCTTCAGGAGTCGAGCAGCGGGTGAAACTGCTCGAGACTAACTAGTTTGTAACAAAACTGAGATTTTTATATCATTATGATGTTTAATGGCGTATGCATGTATAGGTAAGTATTCCGTGTGTAGCTATTATATCCAAATATGTGTTTTTATCACTCGTAGCTACGCAGTCAAGTCCCGTCGTGCTGAAAAAAAGCAGGACCCAGCTACGCAGCGGAAATACTACAGTCTGATGCTGAAAGAGGACTCTGACGCTGCCTTACTGCGCATCTTCGAATGCTTCCTGGAAGCGGCGCCACAGCAAGTCCTGCAGACCAGCCTTTTGTTGAGAGCTAACCCGGATTTCACTGGTGAGACTACTCTTGACTCTAATAAACAGATATGCGTGTATGACGCGTTCGCATTTGGTGATGATTTTCTTTGAGGCGCTTAAGCCTACAAATAATGTTTAGAGTTTATCAAATGCTAGGTGACCTTCTTAACTTCTTTAAATTTTCTATTGACAGTGATTAGATATTTAGTATGCTTCATGCATTAAAAAATGTGTACTTTTTATTATTTCTTTAAGGGCTGATTTTTCAATGATTAGATTAAAGTTATCTGGGAAATAATAATGACGCTGTCGCGTCATAATGTTAGCATAAGACAGTGACTGCAACAATTTTATTCTTCAGATAACATTTATCCGAATATTGAAAAAGCAGCCCTAAATGCTAAAATTATAATGTCTTCTTATTTTCACAAATTCAATCCTAATCACTGCGTTGCATCCGTTCTCACATCCTCTCTGCAAATTGCATGCATGATATCAATTCCCATTTACAGATAGTTTAAAAATAAAAATTCTTTGTTCTTCAGTTCATCAGATTCTGTCGATAGCCTCGTCTATTGTGGGCATGGGCTGGTGTCTCGCGGCGTACCAGCGCGCCGTGCGATTCTACCAGCAGGATAAATACAACATGAGCTGGACCGGCACTGTGTTGCAGACTATCTGGCATTTCCTCGTCACTTGTAAGTATACTGCAACTTTTGTTTTAATATAAGGTGCTACTACTTCTTGGACCTTAATAAAGACTTTATTTTGATTCTGAACATATCCAGATTCAGCATATGTATTCATACAGAATTTTAATGTTATGTAAACTTGATGTATTCAATGAGGATCTACATTTATCTGTAACAGCTTTTAGGTAGTCAGCAGTCAGTTGTCTAGAATGCAGCAAATACTTTTGCAAACCATTTTAATTTAAAAAATAATGAATTAAATGTTATAAAATTTATCAATAACTCTTCTTTGTAATTCTATTCCAGTGAGCCGCATAATCTCAATATCAGTGATCGCGTATCTGTTCCCTCACTGGACGGTCCTAGCGTGCGCCATTCACGTCTTCATCACCGCCACACTCATACAACTCTTCGACCGTTCGCCGTTCTGTTCACACAACCGTGTCGCCGATATAGCTTTCTCCTTCGCACTTGGAGCTGTATACATCTTCACCTACATCCTTCCAGTCGAAGGAAAAACGAGGTATAGGTATACTATTTACTATAGTATATGTTTTATACAGAATCTCGCATGTGGTGCTATTTGGTACATATTTGTGTCCGACGAAATGAGAAACTCGATATATTTCTTCCCAGTTTTAGCATCTACTGTGGTCCCCTATGTTGTGGGTCTGGTTATAATGGTCATCTATTATAGATTCTTCCACCCTGAAGTTAGTAAACGAGGGTTTAGTGTGACCTTCATTAGTGACCGAGTTATTACTGACAGTTAGCGTTAAATCATAAAATGGATTAGTATTCATTGAGATTGTTATTGTTACTGTGTCACATATTCAGTAGGTACGTAGATTAGAAATATGTTTTTGACAGCTGCAAAACATAAATAATGCGGGTTTAGCTTGAACTCACCATGCCACCACGTTTATTGAAAATACTGACTTACGCGAATTAACTGGGAAAAGCTCTACCTACTAGCTGGAAGTCACAACGAGAGTCTTATACAAAAGTAGCGCGCGCGTCGCGTCTCGCGTCGGCATCGCTTAGCCGTCTTAATGTTTGCAATAAAATTAACTATGGCTCATGATAGTTACTATTAAAAAATGCAACTACCCCCATAAACTTATGTGGAAGCTATGAATTACAAATTGCTGTCTATATTTATAAAATGAAACATAGTGGTGCTCCATTTGTTTACTCATCTGTGGTCGAAATATATGATCTGAACATCTTTTTTCTCTTATGTTTTGTACCTGTATATTGTGTTCCTACTCGTAGTCAGTTACCATTCAACTTGAGATATGTTATTGTTGTTAATGAATTTTCGAACAATATTTGTAGTCAATAAGCATGATAATATTTTAATTCTTAAATGTGAAGAAATGTAATACATAGCTAAAAATAGTATTGCAATTTCTGTTGAAATACAAAGTAATCTCTAGTTTAAATAATGAAATGGTATTTTTGACCAATAATAGCTTCCAAAATTATAGGTGCAAGATTAGTGCTACTAAATGTAAAGAAGGTAATTTATAATATCAGTAGGCACAATAAGACTGCATAGCAATAAGTATTTTATTATTCTTTTAATATTGTAAGGAACATTTTTTTACACTAGTTAATATTGTATTACTGATATTTTTGTACTTAATCTTTTTGAATCTTTATGGAAATTATCTGTGAATCTCATCAATGATACTTGTCAAATTTTCAATAAATAATTTTACATATTATTAATGTTTTCCTTTTTTATTTTCATTGTAAATAAATGTGGGTATTTTTTTAAATTGCAGGGCGAAATGTTTAACATAATTAAAGCCATAAAGGAATTAAATACATTTATTTATTACCAAATAAATGGCGCGCGTTCCCTGAGTATCCTTAAACCAAATCTGTTCCATTCACTCTGGTTTATCCATAACTCTATGGCAGATTCCAAACACGACATCACTGCTGCCCCCTTCCATACTGTGCTGGCGGGATCTATATCTTTGGGAGATGTCACTATTTCCAACTGTTCAGTCTTATATGTATATGGAATCTGTAATGCTAGCCTGTTCTGAAGCCACAAATTCAAGCCATGTACTTTTACACCACCTCCCACTATTAATATGTTGCTGTACATCTTCCGTTTCAACTCCTCATTGGGGCAGCGGTCAATACTTTGCAGTATTGCAGCATCTAGTGCCAGGACCTGTCCAGGAGCTAAGGACACTACATCACCCGGGCCTCCTTCAAGTGTGTCCACTACTATGTCTTCATCTGCATTTGCTGTAGGTTGAGCTTCACTTGTTGCCTCAAATTGCTGGCTCTCATTGGCTGAAGGATCAACAGTTTCCCTCTTCCTGCCAGTTTCTCTTAAAAACTCTGCATCAAAAGGATCTTCAGGGTCACTTGGTTGTCTGTTCTGTATCTTGGTAGACTTTGAGCCTGTGATTTTTAGTAAATCTGTGTAGAACATTGATAATGGTGATATTATGCACTCATCACCAACTTGCAGTGTGTATTTGTTTACCACATCACCAGGATGATCTACAAGAAATGACTTCTCCTGAGGCCCACACACATCCAGGTTCACATGACAGAAGTTTTCATATAAATTCCTCATGAGTATCACATCTCTAGGTATGTTCTCATTCCAATTCTTATAGGGAAATGCACTCTTGTGGAACATCCAAGATAAAGCTTGGCAGACATCTCCTGCTCCATAGTCCATCCTCAATCTAGTGGTCTTATGGGAGATCCCATCTTCAACACAAGATATGGCAGTTTTCTGGTCTCCAATGTCCACCACACATGCAGATCCAATACCAGCTCCAAATGTAGCTCCTACACTCTCTTGTACAAAGAAGCAATGTCCAAAACCCAAGTCCTTCAATAACAATAACATTAAATACTTTAGATGGCTCCTGGAGTACAGGTCAGGTATTAACAGCACACATCTGTACTTTACTAGTTCTATTAGTGGTATGCCCAGCTTATACTCTATGATAGAGCTCCATATAGTGTACAGGTCATTGAGCACTGAAGAGATAGAGCCACCCACTTCAGAGTGTATGTTGAAGTCACCTCTGCGGTAAGGAAAGTGTATATTGTATGGTAGCTCTGGATCTATGTCAAGTACCAAGTCACCGATCACGATGTCACACTGTACTTGCGGCCACGGATCCCCATCATTCACACATTCTGGCAGTGACCGACGATTGAAAGCTGCGATTTGCTGCGGTGGTGTCGCGTACCTCCGTGCTCCGTTTGACTGTACACACGACTGCAACGTGTGAGATATTTGTAGACGACATTCTTCTAATTCCTCGATTAATTCCTTAGTTTTTGGCACACTTGGAGGGATGAAGGAATCACGGTATATTTTTCCTCCGGGACGACGTTTTCTTGCTATGCAATGGAGTTGTTTTACTGGTAAGAGGTCTGACGCTCTTCCGATTCGAACATAAAGTGATCCAGGGTGGATAACGATAATTCTATTGGACGGGAACTGCTGGAAATGCTCAGGACCCGGCTCGAAAGATGGCATACTCATTTGTAGAGATTTAAATACTTCTTTTATGTTATAATACTCTTACAATATTTTACTATCTCTTGCACTCTTACAATATTTTATTTTCATTACACGCATGTGCTTTTACATGTGTTTTTTGAAATGTTTTTTAAAAATAATACATCTGTAAACATAACCTCTAGGCTAGGCTTAACAAGTTTGACATTAGCTGATTTTGACATTCAGTTACATTAGCTGCTTTTTCTGATTTTGGGAGTCATTTTCGACTGTTATTTATAATAATAAAGGTGTTTTTAGCATCATTTCAACATCAGTGATAATTCAAAGAAAGTATTATCTTTTTAATTAATTTTTAAATAGGTATTTTAATTCTAAATTGTCTTTCTCATTGCGAAAAATGTATCCGAACCAAAAGAACGAATGATTTGTGTTTGACCGCTGTCAAACTACTGTTTAAAAATCTGTCAAATTGTCACAAATGTCATCTGCTGTCTATCGTCGTGTCACGAAATCAGAGAAAATAAACACTTTTCCCGAATTTTTAATAGTAAAATAATAAAAATCATTCGCGAAAATGGTGTCTAGAAGTTTAACTGAAGTGTTTGTGTTGATGCGTAACAATGCTATACACAGCCGGCACATATTTGCAGATCAGGCAAGTACTTTTCTTGTTATTGATTTATGTTTTGTCCACTACTTTTGAATATTATATGATGCAATTACGAGCGTTTAGCAATTAATTTAAGTATGATAATATAGCTTAGTTTTTGTTACGGTGACTTTTTTAAATTTATACTATTAAACCTGGAATCTTTCAAACTAAAACTTTTATAAAACTAAGAATCTGTCGTCACTGCCTCTCATAGGACAAACAAAGCAATTAAAGATATCAAATAAATAAATATACGGTCAGCGGGTAGCCTTACAAGGAGGACGTGGGTTTGAATCTAAAAAAAATCTTGTAAATTATGATATAATGTCTCTTGGCAGTTGATACCTTAATGTTCTAATGAAATTGACACTATTATTTTATTTGTTGATCTAGCGTCCAAACACGGGACAGGTATGAATGCTTGTAAATGTTGTAGTCACATTTTAGAATAAAAAAACTTACAGAAAATTATTATTTTGCAAAAATGTTGATTTTATTTGGTTTTTGGATCATCCTTTTTGTGCTCATCTGCATTTCCCATTTTATTTTTAAACTAAGATTTTAAACAGTTTTGTAAGTCTGTTGTGATATTTTTGTTAATTTATCTTAGCTTTATATTGGATGAATTGTGAATAAAATTGAATATATCCCATATGTTGCTGTCATGCACTAGATATTCCTGTTTGTTTCTGTAACCATTTATGTTCATAGATTTACTTATTTTATGTTATGTTTATATAGTCAGTAGAATGAAGTTTGCATCTGTAATAAATGTAATTTATTTATAATAAAACAATATCACCTTTCTTATAACTCAATTACATAGGTTAAGTATTTTGTATTGATTTTATTAGAAAAAAAATGCATGTTGTAATTTTGTAATTGATAAAACCTTATTACTTATACAACAATTATAAATATTTAAAATAATTTATATTTGCTATCACCAGCACAATGATTCGGAGAGGGTGCGTCTCATGCGGAGTAACTCCCACGACTTGGAGTCAGGGTTGGAGATGAGGTCAGACTCCCACGCACCTCCTCCCTGGACTGATGCATTAGAGGAAGCACACTATGTTATCACTAGGTTTGTATATAAGTTATTTTTATAATAATTATTAATTTTCAATATTATTTGCATTTTCTATTGTATATGTTACTAGCTACTCTCGCGCGGTTTTACCCGCTGCTCAGCTCCATTTGATCCTAGCGGGATGTATTATAGCCTATGGCACTCAGGAATATTGTAGCTATCTATCAGTGAAAGAATTTTCGCAATCCGACCAGCGGTTCCAAAGATCCGCTACATACAAACTTACAAATTTTACCTCTTTATAATATTAGTATAGATAATATAAAATGTGACTGCACGTTTGGCGCTGTGGCTGGGTAACTGACTGCCGCGCAACATATCACGGGATCGATTCCCGTACGAAACAACTCTTCGTGTGATTCACAAATTGTTGTTTCGGGTGTGGTTGTCATGTGTATGTGAAATTGTATGTTTGTATTCACAACACAGGAGAATATTCCAGTGTTAGGCAACGCATTTTAAGAAGAAAAAAACTTGAGATCACATGATTACTTATAAAAAGATGTTATCATGTATAATGTTAAAGAAAATATTGTGACATCCTTAATCAATAATGAGTAGGATTTGCATAGTGGACAGTGCCGAAGTGTATTGGTGTGAGTCTGCAGTGTATTGTTATGGCTTAACTAAAAATCGCGGGTTATTCACTTGTGTAATATTGAGAAAAGCTCTACTAGTTTCGAACCACAAAGGGGTTCTTTCTCAAGAGCAGCGTGCGCGGACGCGGGGTGTCCCGCAGCCTACTGTAGGTATGTAGTACTTATACACGTGAGTAACCCGCGATTTTAGTTAATTTATTATGTCTCATGATAGTTATTATATTGTTATGGCATTGCATTCGTATTTTTTGTTCATTGTACTTTATTTTTTATATAAACCATGCTATTCTTTAGCACTTTCGTTATCAATATCAATAATGTAATTTAGCAATATTGTTGATAGTTTAATCTGCTGTTGTGATCTTAATAGGTAAGGTGTTAGATGCTATCTATCGCCATTAATCATCACTACAAGCATATCTTGAATATAATCTTTAATGTCTAAAAACCAAAAGGTCGTTTTTTATTTGAGGACGGCTTACGGGAATTCTTGTCACTTGATTAAGCAATCAACGTCGCTCGTGGATACACCAGAATGGGATGGGGCTGGGAGAAGAGAAAAGATTGGGCCTCCGTTAACTTCACTCACACTGTTAAAACAACACAAGCGTTATTTCAAGCCGGTTTTCTGTAAAACCCTTGTAATAACTCCGGTAGAGCCGGTCCATAGGCGGGGTCAGAGCTCATTAGAGGCACCTGGCATCCACCCTGCATCGCCTCGTTGCACGACGTTCACTTATTACTGTCGCCAGGTAGTCCATGGTTGGACGTAACGTTATCACCAAAAACATCCGACGGTCAATTATTGGACCCCCAGGTCAACGAGCGAACGTCGAGAGTCGAGTTGCCAACGAGTGGACGTTGCTTGGTCCACGACATTTTGTAGTCGGGGGCGGGGCGGTTCGCGGTGCGAGCAGCGAGTTGACACCGGTTGGTCCACCCTGGCTTAAAACCGAGGCGATCTGGTAACGCTACGGAGTTGATGGAGTGAGCGTGTGTTCATAGTAATCCATATAAAGAATACTAGTCGCAGAAAGCGAGTCGGTGCTTTGTGGAGCCAGGTGGCTCTAATAAGATGTGACCTTTATTGTCCCACATTGATTGGTGTCTTCTATTTCAACATGCTGACTTGGCAGTCGATGGGCCAGTCGCAAAAACAGTTTTTATAATTTGTAGAATAATATAAAGATTTATAAAGAATTCAATGCTTTTGTCCAGGTTAAGAACAAAGTTATCAGAGCTACAGTCTCGCCATGAGAAGCAGATTCGACGTCCGTCGCTGGACGACACGACTGAGCAACAGCACATACAGCGCCTCACCGCGGAGATTGGGCGACACTTCACACATGCGCACACGCACCTCACCGCTATCAAAGCGCAAATACGACACGGTACGTCGGTATTTAGTAATAAGTACTTTGTACTTATTTTGTTGTCCTAATACAATATAATCGCTTGTAGAATCCAAATAAAGGTATAATAAAACAATCGACATAATATGTATGTGCATTGATAATTGTCGGGAAAATGTGACTCCATAGCACAATGCCATTAGAGGGACTGGACTAGTTTGGAGTTACGCGACTGACCTTCTTATTTCGGACTACAATCTTTATCATCTCATTATAATAAAAAACTGCGAAAACTAAAATCGATTATAAGATTATTGTTTCATCGTTGTTTTGCTAAGGTTAATTGAACCCACACAGATACCTACAATACAATACGGTTAGTTTCCAACTAGTCAAATTCAATACTTTTATCCAAATGTCAAAAACGATGAAAAACTGAGTTATGACGTCGTAACATTTTTGCGTCAAATAGCTTACTTATTTCTTAATAATTCGCTAAAAAAATCTAAAATTAAAGTGTATCGATCGATCGATGAATAAAGTATAAATTATAGTTATTTTTCTTATTTTTATTGTAAGTATTGAAAGGTCGAATTAATTTATTTTTGATCTAGGAAACTACCCAATTTAAAGGACTTTGTGTGGTCCAACTTGTACGTTTATGTAATAAACTAGGCGAGCCGTACAATATTGTATTAAGTAAAGAAACCTAGTTGATAATATTTTGGTAAAAAACAAACAATACCTACAAAGTGGGACATGTTATTATCAGTTTGTGTGTAATTTTACATCGAATGATAATTCATCAAACAATTACTTTTCTGAATTATTCACAAAAATGTTTCCAGGTAACCCCACGGAACAGAAGTTAGCGACGAACGTAGTGTTAGCACTGGTCACCATACTCCAGGACCTGAGCGTCACATTCCGCACAGCGCAGTCAACATACCTGAAATCGCTTACCTCACGGGAGGAACGCTCAAACGCCTACTTCGAACTGCCAAACTTTGAAGAGCTTAGCCTGGACGACAACGAACTCCTCCCAGGTTTGTCCAACAACCAAACAGACCTACTTTTTTCACTCCCCAGCACTTCTGGCACACAGAAGTTCGACGACAACGATGACTTCTCAAGACCAGCTCTTAACCAAAAACAACTTCTACTAATGCAAGAAGAAAATACAAGAGTTGTAGCAGAGAGAGAAGAAGAAGTGAACAAAATAGTTCGTTCTATAGTGGACTTGAATGATATATTCAAAGACTTAGCACATATGGTACATGAGCAAGGTACGGTGCTGGATAGGATAGACTACAATATAGAACAGACTCAAGTTCAAGTGCATGAAGGGTACAAGCAGCTGCAGAAGGCTGAGAGGTACCAGCGGTCCAACAGGAAGATGCACTGCATCCTCATTCTAGGAGTCACAATCATAGTCTTAGTAATCCTCCTCATTATTGTCAAGAGTTAGTTGGGGAGATAGAAGCAGGAATTGCCTTATTTTACGTAGTCGATTGGCCTTATGGTTGGCCGTGGATAAAAAATTATCGCTTATTGTCCAGAATTGGACTGAAGTATTGTTTTTTCAGTTCTTGAAAGCGGATAATGAACAGTGAGCTAGAAAGAGATAATTCACTAAGTCGACTTGGTACAGCATTGTTTTACAAATCGTGTGGTATTGGCCTGTATGATCATTGAAAGCTACATGTTAAAGAAAATGCTCTATCGAGATGATGGAAGTAAATTATCCCCTCTTCATAAAATCCAGTGTACTTAGGTTTCTACACATAACTAGGTTACTGGAAGTCGACATGTAAAAACTCTTTTAATAACTCTGTTGCAAGCATTATTTACTAAACAAACTCCATGTACAACATAATATACATATTATAGCAAAGACATCACCGGGCTTCCTCCTTCATATTATTAAGTAATCTTATTAAAAATATTGTATTGGAAAGAGAACAGAAACAAACCCATAACAAGTGAATAAAAAACTTTTGGACATACAAATAATAGTTATCCCATAGACAATTTGCCTAAAATATTATTAAAGTGTTAAATTTTGTTAAAGTTGTTTACTAAGAAGAATCCGATTGTTATCTAAATTATTATTTTAGTAAATTATTGTCTGTATATAAGCGAGCGACCATATTGTGTAAGCTAAGGAAATATGGAACAAGATACTTAGATTGAGCAATCTTTTGGGACCTACCAAAGTAAGCAAACATTATTTCCCAATGATTTTAAATGTTCATTACATTATATATAATGGTGAATAATGGTCAAATAAAATTCCAAGTTATGTTCACATTTCTAGAAGATGTTTACAATTATATTTAGTTTTTTATCAAAAATAATTGAATAGGATTCGAGTTTACCAAATGGTAAGTACCTATTGTTGTAATAGTCTTCTTTGGCTAAAATTGACCAAATCACGTGATAATAACGTAGGATTATTAATACGGGGACACAGAAATGATGTGATTATTTTCGAAGTTTCTGATTCATGCATGCATATGGGAAGTATATGTCTATCACCATTGTAAGATGTCCTATCCAAAACTTTATTAACAATTTTATATTTTGTTATAATCATTACGGAATGTATGGTCCCAAAGTTTGTCTCAGTCAAACTGTTAGTTGTGTAAATGCACACATTCTAGTCTCTAGGTATGTACATTCTAAGTTATATGTAAGTATTAGTTAAGGCGTATTTATTGAAACTACGAAACTATTATTGTATGAGTGTTACTTTGTACCTGAGCAGGTAATATTTTGATGTTTTGTAGCCTAAATTGCTTTGAGAATGTAGTCAGCTAAAAGTTAACCAATCGAAATTGAATTAAGTGTGGAAATGAGTAAGGGAAAGGGAGTTATTTGCGACATTATGTTAAGCTGGTACAAATATTTTTGTGTGTTTTCAAAAATATTACAAAATGAATTAAGTAAGATCAATCAATCTGCTAATTATGAGTTTGGGATAGTTTTAACACTCTGACTGCTCAGAAACTATTAGGATCATGGCTTTCAATGTGCTAAGTGTTTGTGTCTCAACTTTTAATTTTTTTTTAATAATTATTCTGCTCAGGCAACATCGTTGTTGTTAGCATTGTTACTGTGTGATAGTGAGTGTGTGCCAATATCAAGTATAGGAAAGTCAAGTGTAATTAAATTGTACCAAATTTATTTGTTAATTTGACTCAAAAGCATTATTGCCCTTTTATTTTTTTGTTTGAACTTCAACACATTTCAATTGGTTAATGTATGTTATCATTACTCGAATTAATGTATTTTTACATATTATTATTTGCCTTCTTATCACGCTTCAAAATTTTGTTTGAGCTAATGCAAAATTTTAAGTGATGGACTTGGAAAATTAATCGGAATTAAGATGAAAATTCTTATACAGTATATTAAAATATATTCTTAATCAACTGTTATATATACTTGTATGTATAATATTATCTGTAGTTGTAATAGTTCAATGGAAGTGTAAAATAATTGCAATAAAAAGATGGCCGCCGGTAAGCGCCATTATTGTTAAAAAGATGTTCTAGTTATTTCCCTAAATTATAACTTTTGTATTGTACCTAAGTAATGTATTTATTTACGAAGTTGTGTAAATATTGTTTACTTAACTATAAATGACATCAAAGTGATAATATATTACAGAATATTCCAACAATGTGTTGTTTTATTGTTTTACGAGTAGGTATTGTATATTGCATTGTTCTTAGGTTAGATTTATTCAATAGGTAATTTAAAAAAAAATATTATAATGCATGCATAGTTGCCATATTAGGTAGGCGACTAGCTGAGATGCCAGTTCAAATCATGTTTAATTCGGAAATCGAACCCGATACCCTGAAATCGAAACTTGCGCTCGCGACCATACAACTACTGAGTCTAGTCTGATTATTTTTTCTAGCTGGTATTTGGGTCGCGAATGATCTAACATAGGACGCTGATTTTTTGCTTATCAGTTAAAGCAGCTTACAAAGTATCAATATCACCACTTAATTTTACTCAAATACACAAACAACACTCATTAAAATTAAGTAGGTACCTACTTATAGACATTCATATCAGGATGCCACGCCGATCTGTCATAGAAAAGTGTAAGTAGGTATACCAAGTGAATGCATTCGATCGACCCACGCGATGCTTTTATTAGATCCGAGGTCGTAGGACAATTATTACGAGATATTGCAAGCATGCGCGTTACATGTGGGCTGCTACTTGTTGTCCCATATTCTCGACTGACCTACTTCCGACGTCCGTCCGGACATTTTGTCTTTCAATTATTTGAAACAATAGTAAACGATATACCGTTACTGGATTATCTTAGTTACTAGGTACCCACCCACCCATGTTTAGGATGGTACCTAGGTAAAGTTAGTCATAAGTAACGTTAAATTGTACTCCACATAGGAACCAGAGAAATTAATTTGACCACCAATTTTCGCCAGTAGGTAGTGGAAAATAATCCAACATAATTTGATGGAAATCTTATCAATTAATTCTATGAAAAATTCTCTTACACTTCCGTCAAAACTATTTCTTCGTTCCGTGATTTCCCGCGCAAATCGATGATCCATCTTTATTATTTTTGCTTTATATTAAAGCTTTGTTTAAAAACCCGACTAGAGTAGTTTGCAAGGTCATTACAACAGAATGTTGTCCTTCGTCTGACCCTGGACATTGATCTGAAGGATTTTGCGTGTTATAATGTTCTAGATATAGGTACGCTTATTCTAGAACTACCTACTCAATTGTCTAGAGGTCACACGAGCCCCTAGATTTGATAAGGTCGTCGTATTATTTTATTTGCATTGGCTAGTCATTTTCAAATCATCAATTTGGTTGTATTCACTATTATAATAATGATTGGATGGAAATATGAACATTCGTCATTAGGAGAAAGAAAGCAAACAAGTAATCAATTGCACTAAAGAATTATAATTGTCAGTGATCTCATTTTACAGACACAACTCCATCAGCTGAGCTATTGAGCTGACGAGTTCTACCAAACAGGAACAAAACTGGCAAACACATTCAAATTGTACATAACATTCAGTCAGATTCAGTGGTAAAATAACAGCAAGTTGTAGTCATAATAAGTCCATAGATTAGCAAATATTGTACCTTAACAACTATTTAGTATAGGTTTTACAATATAATTTTGATATTATGCATTCAGGTAATACTATCACAGTCATATAACACCTATAATTTACTATCTACACAGAGCCAAGTTTAGTCAAAATGTGAAATTATAACAAGCTGTAAGAAAGTAGAATACACAATGGAAAATGAATGGTAAAAGAACTCGTCAGCACAATCTCATTACAATCATGCAAACATTCAACTCACAACACAAAATACAACGCAAAATCAAAAATATGTATTTCTTTAATGATGACAAACAGAACACAAGTCTACTATGAGTCTCTGTGCTTATTGTAAAATTCATCTACATATTTTTTATACGCTGGTTGGTTTGGCCACAGGTATGATGCTTGTTGGTTTAGTGGACTGTGCGTGTTTGGCTCGGCTAGGAGACTCTGGATGGATAGGAGCACGGTGCGGACATCATACAATGCCGTCCACTTGTCCTTCAAGATATCTAAACATATTAAACCGCAGGTATCTACATTAGGGTGAAAACATGGGGTGATGAACTTCACCATGGGTGGGGCATATGGGTATGAGTTTGGAAACTCTAATGATAGTTTGTACTTGTGGCCCGCATACACTGTATCCTGAGGACCATTTATTGTGCCAATCCATTTGAACAGGTTCTCACTCTCTGGGAATGCAGATATACCTTTGTCAGCACAGCGCATCAACTCCATTAATTCCTTTTGCAATCTACCAACAAAGAGAAACAATGGTAAGTTTAAGTGTTGTGATCATAAAGAGCCCCGAAGTCTACACTGGACATCACTGTTATGAATGCATTAGCTTTAATTCAATAGTTCAAAGCATTTCAATAGTGCTTATGGCTAAAGTGGACCTAAATCAGTTTGTGCATGATGGAAATCGAGGTCAAAACCCGGTCAGAAGGTTCTTTTTTGTGAAGATACACGTCACTGACCACAGCAGACAATTTTATTGAGCCAACGTCAACTTAGTACATTGGTGAAACCGTTAGGCCACCAACGGTTTTTAACGTTCTAAGCTTCGCTTTTAAAATCGTAACGTAGAATTCAAATAATTTAGTCTCATTGTGCATAGTAACAATATAAGAAATTAGGATTTACACGAGTAACAAAGCAATTTTAATGTCGTGTTACTTACCGTTTGCTCACAGCATGATTATCTTTTAGTTTTATCGTATCTTCATTTTGTTTCGCTGGATTTGACGAGGATGCGTAGTGTGGATTAATATTTTGAGCCATAGTATGTGGAGCAAACAATATCAGATGCCTCCAATTCCACCGAATTTCTGTTAGACGAAGACAACTTCCTGTTTAATTTTAAAAAGCTCAATTTTTATTGGATACTTCTCTCACGTTTGACAGCGGTACGTAATGGCGGCAATCTACGTAGAAATCAGCGCCATCTAGACACAAAATCATTATTGGTTAGCACAGATTCAGAACAGTATTTTTACATAGTTCATTCAAATATTTAGTTGCAGACTCGTAGTCTATGACCTGATATTTATACCACTTTTAGATAGTGGTGGATACTCGCATATTCTGTTGTTTATTGTTATATTACACCCCACTTGACACCATAAGTGTGGGAGAGCCACCCCACTTTAAGTGTGGAAGACCCATGCTTCGGCACGAATAGGTTGGCTAAACGTAGTGCTTATATTCTCTTTGGGGTCGGCTCGACCGGAGTGATACCACCGCCTTACAGAGAACTGGTGTGGAGCAATACTTACATTGTGTTTCTCCGTGTGATTAAGGTTACCGGAGACCCAATTCTTCCCCCCTCTCCCTATCCTCAACCCTCAAATCTCCTATTCTTGAATCTCTAATGATCCACAAGAGGCCGGCAACGCAGTTGTAGCCTTTAGTACTAGTACGAGTGTCCATGGGTAACGCTGATTGCCTACCATCAAGTAATCCATCTGCTCGTTTGCCAACCTATGACATAAGAAAACACCTAAATCAAATGGTATTTTAACTAAGGAACAATTTTAAAAAAATTATACTTTGGTACGAGCAAATATTGATTTTGGGTTTTAATATACATACATGAACAGACAACGTCTTTACAATAAAAGGAACTTTATGTAACAGTATTAAACAAAGATCTTACTATATCTTTGGTATTAAATCAATCGAACGTTATAGATATGTGCGTACTCTATTTAGATAACTTTAATAAACTGAGGTAACATTAATAGCTGAGCTGGGGAAGCGGGGCTAGCGTAATTGGAGGCCCAATCCTCCCCCTCCCCCAATCCCTCCTTATTCCCAAAATCTCTAAATCCCTAATCCCCAAAAGGTCGGCAACGAACTCGTTATTCCTCTGTCGTTGCCGGTGTCCATGGGCGGCGCTAATTGCTTACCATCAGGCAATAGGGTTGCTCGTTTGCTGTTACCACATAAAAAATACTTTAATAGCTCAGAGTTGAGCTATGTAAAATGTAAATGAGGCTATACTTCAGCTTTAGTTGGCCAGCTTGAACGGAATAGTAATACCAATCCTTTGTAGAAAACCGGCATAGGACAATGCTTACGTTGGATGTCGCCTTGATGATGACGTTACCGGAAGCCTATTTCTACTAGCCATTCCCAATTCGCAAATCCCCTATCCTCAAATCCCTAATTAACTCCTATAAGTACTCTAGCATTACGGGTGACCATGGGTGGAGCCAATTGTTCGCAGTGACCCATCTGTTCATTTGCCGTACAATTGCAATTAATACTAAAAGGTAAAGGCCTTATTTACATTATAAATAAAATAATTATTAATTAATTGTCTAATTTGAATACATATAAAGATTTCTAAGTGTAAGTTGTGCGTTCTAAACTTCCAAGTAATAAGGTAGCCGCTTTGTTAGACTTACTTTCACTTTCTTAAATCATTTGAGCGTGAAATTAAAAATCAGTGACGGGATTATTTAACAGAAAAGGAAAAGTGGAGCTTACTAAGAAATCTATTTAAGATGCTGATACTGATAATTATGCTTAGTTTAACTTAACGTTTTGTTAGCCCGTGTAACTTGACAAAGGAACTTGGTTTTTGTGATAAAAATGGCGTTTAAAGTAAGTACCTACTAAATAAAATATGTCCCCATTGTTATTTTGTGTTTTCAAGAAGATTGCGTTTATTTAAAACATTTATAATTATAATAATTATCGTTTAGGTGTATGTTATAATAAAATTGATGACAATAAAAAAACAAAAAATTACGTATATGATATTTTTAATGTTTTTCTTTAATGATACTGTAATGATGATATTAAAATTTAACCATCGAGTAGTTTTATAAGTTAATGAGTCGTCAACACGTTGCACTGGATTTTTTTTTATTTTGCAGTCGATTTTTTTTCGCCACATCCTGGTTTTTGTTTTAAAGAGCAAAACAAAGGTGACTGATAGTGTAAACATAATATTGATATTTATTCCTTTAAAGTTGATATTATTATGGTCAAAATAAGTATACTATTTTAACAAAAGTATAATTTGGCAGTTGGCTGTTCTAGGACAGACATCAATCTTAGGTATCAGGGAAATATTATTAGGTGTAGTTGGCAACATTGGAGTTCTGTTCATTCATTCATAGAATTCATTCATTCAATTCAACTCAATTGACAATTGCATTCGCATTTACGTTTTTATCGTAAACATTGTGTGAGAAAATAATAATATTCGTGGTATTTATACCAAAGTGAGTTATTCGGAAACAGTGCATTTTAACAAATTCATAATGCCTTGCTTAGTAATATTTGGAAAGCATTTTACTACAGACCTGGATTGCACAGATGTGATGTCATTGAAACATGAGATTTCGCAAAAACATGGTGTTCCAGTAGAAGACTTGTTAGCTACGCTCAATGGCAGATTCGTGTCTGATGATTACGATATCACAGCAAGCAATAGTGTTATTCGGTTGACCACTAAACTCATCGGTGGGAAAGGCGGATTTGGATCTATGCTGCGTGCTATTGGTGCACAAATCGAAAAGACTACAAATCGTGAAGCTTGTAGAGACCTCTCCGGGCGTCGCTTGCGTGACATTAACGAAGAAAAAAGGCTAAGAAAGTGGCTGGAAGGCCAGGAAGAGAGGGAAAAAGAAGCTGCTGAGCGAAAACAGAAGAAACTTGAGAGGCTTGTGGCAGAACCAAAAATCGAAGTGAACTTAAACCCTGCTTATGAAAAAGAACGTCAGGACTTACCAGAGCGTGTAAACTCTGCTGTGGAGGCTGGCTGGCAGGCAGCAGGCTCCTCAAACACTTTAAAGCGGAAGTCTGACAATGATAAAGCAAAACCAAAGAAGGCTAAGCTTTGGATTGATGCTGAGTTGTCCGACTGCTCATCTCTGAGTGAAGATGAGGAGGAAGAAGAGAAGAGTTCGAGTCCTAGCCAGCAAGTGTCAACAGACAGCGGGAATGAGTCTGACAAGGCATCCACAAGTAGTAAATAATAGAAAATGGACCCAAATGAGTGTATCCTTAACATTGATTTCAATTCTGATTATGAAAATAGCAATTTTGCTAGAATATATTACTTAATGATAGTGTAAATGTAATCTTAGATATGTTTTCATGTTCAGGAGTCTTTTTTTGTAATTTACAGAAAATTTTCTAAAATTGAGAAATATTGTGTCTGTTTCAAGTTCTTATTTTTAATAAGTTCGTTTGATTAAACAAGTAACCATTTTTTGTCACAGTCTAATTTGTTTATTGCAAACTAAATACAATGTTAAGTACTGAACAATATTTTTTTATGTTACAGCATATTTAAAATGTATATTATAATTTAGTTTTTTTTTAGTTCTATTGCCTATTTTATGTTAAATCATAAGATTTAGTTAATTGTAGTTGTCTTAAATGTGTATCTTGTAAATATAATTATTAGCTTACTACATTGTAGTATTATTTCTTAATTATTATTGACTCACTTCAGCCTGCAGCTGCACAATTGTAGTATTTTGATAAAAAGCAGCCCATGTGTTAATTCTATCTACATACCAGATTTCAACCAAACCAGTCCAGCTGTTGGTGTGAAAAAATAAAAAACATACATCCTTATTTTTTTTTTTATGGTTTAAGACGGCATAGGCGCAGATGGATTACCTGATGGTAAGCAATCGGCGCCGCCCATGGACACCCGCAATACCAAAGGAGTTACGAGTGCGTTGCCGGCCTTTTGGGGATGGGGGTAGCGGAAATAAGGATTGGGTAGGGATAGGGGAAGGGGAGGGATTGGGTTGTTTCACGCCGGTATTCTGTGAGGCCGTGGTATCACTCCGGTCGAGCCGACCTAATCGTGCCGAAGCATGGCATTTTTTACATTCTCAGAAACTTTCACATTTATAATATTAGTCTCTAATATCAGTACACAATGTGACTATCCAGGAATTGAATGAATACTTGTTGAATATATTAATGTTCTTCAGAGTGAAGTTCTTTCAGTGAAATTACATTTGTTCCCTCTGTTTTGGGGGCTTCCTATAACAATGTAGGTGCTCTATTATAATAGTACATTGGTCTTATCTATGCTAATATTACTAAGCTGCAGAGTTTGTTTGTTTGAACGCGCTAATCTCCAGAACTATTGGTTCAAGTTCAATAATTCTTGTAGTGTTTGTGAGTCCATTTATTGAGGAAGGCTTTAGGCTACTAGGAATTTGTAGGAGCCAAGCAGCGAGTGTAACCGCGTGGGAGAAGCTAGTGTCTGTATATAATCGAATGCACCCTACGACCCGCTTATCCTCCCGCCATACGCTCTAGACACGGTAATACTATCTATATGTATAGTATTGCTTTTGGTGTCCCTGACATGATGGCTGGGTTGCCATCTACGGATCGTACAAAAAATACTTGTTCCTATCTTAGTCCCTGGGATTCCGTTATGTTAATATAATGTAACTTACAGAGGAGCTTGTGGACTGTGATGTTGCTGCTCTCTTTGCTGGTGCTGGCGGCTGCGAGGCCCCAGGACTTCGATGATGACGAGGACCACAGCCATGAAGGTGCTGACGACAGAAAAGGTAAAACCACCGTTTTGTGCTCATGTTTGCGAACATGCGAACTACAAGTAATGTTGTAATTTGTACGCTGTTTGCTAAAGTAATTTGAGTAGGCGCTTTATCTTCCGACATTTTCATAAATTCTGAAGTATGTCTACATATAGGTACTACGTTTGCAAAACAAGACTATTTAGGACTTAAGTACTACGGCTCCGGCCTGAAGCAGGAGAAAGAATGGGGTGGTCTTTAGTCAGTAAGAGTTTGAAGAAAAAAGAAACAAAAGACACATCAATGACTGTACGGTTGATACAGTGTCTGAGCAATTAGCTGCTGCTGCTGTATAGCGTGTCGCGGGTTCAATTCGCTCACGGTACAATACTTTGTGTGATCTACAAATTGTTGTTTTAAATCTGGGTATGGCCCAACGTGTGTAAAAAAGACATCATGATCATAATACCGAAAATTCGATATATTCGTTATAGACATTGGGAAATATCGAGACGAAGCTTGGGCAGACAGGTAATTTATTCATCTTCGAAGTATCCAGAAACCCTTCTTTTCGACGCTTTCACTTTTATAATATACTAGCGGACCCTTTCCGAAAACCTCCACATATCAATTCAGCGGAATTGTTAGGGCCGTTTCTGAGATCATGAGCTTTTTCAAGCAATCAGCGCCATCTGCCGGGCCACTCAAACGCACATTTAAATCGGTCAAGCCGTTTAGGAGGAGTTAAATAACATACACACGTACAGCAGAATTATATATACATGTATAAAGATAAATATGTTATTAGATGTAGCAAAGATAGATAGAATTATAGTGTAATATAATTAATGAATTTTATTCTTATTTTACAGACGATCCAGCTCGGGTGCAAATAAAGGTGTATAGAGGTCCTACAAAACACGATGGATACGCGCCCTGGGGATTCTGGGTCAAGCAACCTTCTGATGAAGAATAATAAGTACTGGGCTATTAAAATGTATACTATGTAAAATAACTTAGCACATAGCGTAGTATATAGTAACTTAATGATAGTAAAACTTTGTTTTTTATTTGGTATAACGGCCGTGATCATAGATTAATTATTACCTACTGTGTTAATGAAACCCAAAGTGCAGACATATCAAAAACCTAGTTGTCAAACTTGGTTAATATTTCATTTCAACTTTTTAATATAAATATTACCATTAGGGCTGATTTTTCAATAGTCAAATAAATGTTATCTGAGGAATGAAATTGTTGCTGTCACTGTCTTATACAAACATTCTGACGCGACAGCATCATTTATTATTCCCCAGATACTTTTATCTAACCATTGAAAAATCAGCCTTAAGACTGTCTATATAAAGAATTCCTCTATAAATTTACCTACCTAATTTTGTTTTGAAAACTTTAGTATTTTATAAGTTTTAGTTTTACAGAAGTTGTGAGTTCAAACACGAGTTAATTTTTTAAATTAGCAATAAATTGTTACCTACTTATAATTAGTTTAAAATACTTAGATACCTATGGATACTTATTTGACAAGTAAGCAGTTCTTTTTGTACAACCAAAGATTAAATGTTAATTACATAAACTATAATATATAATATGATTGTTTTTATTTGTAATTGTTTTACGCCGGTTTTCTGTGAGGCCGTGGTATCACTCCGATCGAACTGGCCAATTAGTGCCGAAGCTTGGCTCTCTTGCACTTCAAAGTTTCTAAACGTTTCTGAGTACTGCAGGTAGACATTGTGTTATTAAAACGGACTTAAAAGATTACCTAGACCTATTTGTTAAAATTGTTTGAACCAGGATCTGGCTTCAATTATGTCACAGGCATTAATAGGGTTTATTAGGTATAAATAAGTACTTAATATGTGCTAATGGAACGTCGAGGAGTTCCGTAAAAGATATCTTATCGAGTAACTATCATGCTAACCGCATTGATGTGATATTAATCACTACATAGTATAAAACAGAGTTGCTTTTTCTGTACCAAATACTTCTAGGTATACCTTTAAAACTTAGCAAAAGATTTTTTTAAATAGATCTTTTATAGTACCTATGTATATTGTTAGGTATGATAACATCCATTAAATAGTGGTGAAATTGAGCATTGCACAGGTCGCTAGTAAGTATGATATAAAAACTAATCGCTAAATATGTTGGTAAGCGCATAACTCAGCAATGCCTGGACCAATTTAGCTGAAACTTATTTCATCAGATAGTAATTTTCAAGAGAACAACGACCTATTTAAGAAAAATTTTTTTTTTCAAACCGTAAAGGAAAATCGGAAATATGTAGTTTTAAATCGTTTGTCATTAGCTAATTAGTTGGAAACCTACCCATACGAAGCAGGGGCGAGAAGCTAGTATCTAGATATATAGTAAAGTTTCTAATAACTACGCCAGCCACGCTCAGTAAACGAGGCCTTAGTGTCTTCCACCCAAAGATTATATTTCAGCTAAGCATGTTTTCATAACATTACATTGAAAACATAAGAGGAGCGGTAAAATGGCGCATTCGCACATTTCGTTTCATTTGATTACGTAAATTCGTATTGTCTGTGGTTTTTGGCGGGGGCATACTTGTATCCCTCCCTAGGCTACAACACAAAAAGTCGTCAGGTAAATCCACCCCTGATCATCCTTGTCGGCCTAACTAAATAAAACATTATATACATCTATATAGTGAAATTCTTGATTCTTGTACCTAAATGATAAAACTTCTCATGTTCCAAATTTACGTTAGTGTTGGTCGTAAACACGTGCAGTTTGGATGTTGAGTACCTACCTACCTAAACAATTTTCATAGAAAATGAGTTATAATACTTGTATACTTGAGTGGATGTGAGTGGCATTATAAAGTGCTTCGTGGGCGCGTTCTCTGCACATAGGTACCGAGTTATTAGGTTCTTTATTTAACATATAAACATACAACATTTTTTAATTTTTCCGCAATATAACCGCACATTTGTCATATATACATACCATACACTAAATTCCATCCTGATGGCTCTACTTAAGGTTTCAATTAGCTTGACCTTGCTAGACCTGAATTCTCCAGCTTGCTTAGAGGATTCAAGGCTAAACAGAACCAAAGCGGACTCAAACTATCACCCTGGATTATTATTAATTTTTAAAATTTTTAGATCCTAATGCTTAGGTACATGTGATTAGCGTTCTAACTTTGGGACGTCGTGGTGACCGGAGGTTAAGGCAGAGAGAACCTGACAAGTACACAAGATTTGAATTTCTAATTTAAGTTTGAAATCACCAATTCGTCTTGAGCTAGCGTGGTGCATTTTGTTTCGCCTTGAGAGTGAGGACACTAGTGGTGGGAACCACTTGGACCTCTAGTGCCCAACTCCCAATCTTCAAATCCCTTCACTCCAAAAAACCGGCAACACACTTGCAACTTCTTTGGTAACAGATGACCAAGGGCGGCGCCCAATAAAGGTCTCCATAAAAAGCACTAGTTTTATTTAATTCTTTAAAACCTTATACCATTGGAAATGTTGGTATCGATAGATGGCTGTTGAATTATGATTGTTATCTATGATGCGTGCTTTCGCGGCATTTTAGCGCGCCGGTTAGTGGGTGACAGACTTTGTAGCTCACCAGTCGTGTGCGCCATGTGATCGGTGGATAGTGGGCTCAGTGCCGGACTGTGATCATCATGCTTGTGCTCATCATCAGGATAATTGCCAAGAAGACACTGTTTATCGTTAAACTATTTGGTAAGACTTTTTTAAATAAAAATAAATGGATTTTTGTTACTTAGATTTATTTAGTAAGACTTTTGTACATACATCTGTGTACAAGGTGGACTTAATGCCACAGGCATTCTCTGCCAGTCGAATCTTTGGGCGATGCAGAGATTGAAGTGACAGTAGGTGCAAGAAACAAGCAAAATCGAGATAATATTGATAAATATATATTATTAGATGTGAGTTGTGATTAGTTTATGAGGCTAAAAATAAGTTTGAAGCTTTTGTAAACGAAAGAAGGGATTTTGATGAAGTTTTTCCAAGTGAAAAGTGTCTTTTTAAGGGAGGTTTTTGTGTGTGATTTGTGTAAATATGAGAATCGCGGGAAAAGCTGCGGGATAGTTATTAGTATTTATGTATAAAAATATAACTTTATATATATGTAAGTATATGAATATAACTGAAATATGAACGTAGTAAAAGTTATGTAGGTATGCCTATATTTTATATTAACCTTTTTTTGTGAGGGGAAAATGAGAGAGAGTATCAGACTCTTACTGACTAAAAACCCCTGTTCCTTCTTCTGCTCCAAGCCGAGGTAGCAGTACCCTCCCTCTCGCCTTACCCTGGGCGAAAGATATCATCGGATAATTTCCCTCCAACAAAAAAGCCAGTCTATTTTTCCTGAATGACCACGAATACAGCAATAGTAGGCGACATGGTTTCATATTATGTTTAAGAATCTATACGACAGACGCTTGTCGCTTGATTACAAGCTCTCAGGTTTAATTTCCGTGTTTAACATAAACTACGTTCAATTTCACTATTCTATATTAGTGGGATTATTTTTGACGGTAATATTTTGGTGATTGACCATTTCGTTCGTTGGTCGCATATCACCACTGCGAACCAGAAGGTGTCACGTTTGGCGTATCGGATGGGCAACTGGTTACTGTGCTAGGTGTCGCGGGTTCAACACTTTGTGATGCACAAATTGTTATTTTGGGTCTGGGTGGCTTGTGTATATGAATTTGTGTGTTCTTAAACACATCCGCGACATAGGGACAAAATAAATATTTTATGCGTTTTTCCTCAGCATGGGCTGGTGATAATTCTCAGTATAGGACTCGTCCCGAAAGTTTAATATGAGCCAAGTTGCACAGTCGTAGTGTTGGAACCAGAATTGTAAAAGATAAAAAAATAGTTGCTTGTAATATTATGTATAAGCATTTGCACAAGTTTATCTAAAACACACACACTTGCAAACATAACTGTGAGTACTTGGAACTTGGAATATACATATGTATGTAGGTACAATGTTCCTTGTTTAGTTATACTATAACCGGCCTGTTATTTATTTGCCTTAACTCTAGAAAGATAACAGGGTGCACTTGACCAGATATTCTAGTGTATTTAATAACATCGCTAGTTAAAATGTTTGTATTCCTCTTCATGAATAATGTTATTTCTATAGTTTATTGTTTTTTGAGGGAGGTATCAGGTAGTACCACCAAAGGACGTGCCAACCTGGGTGGGGTGAGAGGAAGTGTCAGACACTTACTGACTAAAACCTTCGGTCACCGTAAGCGCGGGTCTGCGGCCGGCGAGTAAAGGTAGCTCGCCGCCCGACTAGAACCAGACCTGTGCTGTTCCGCGCGCGCCTCAAGACGAGACTTCCTTAAGAGCTAATAGACCACCACTGGAGATTTTTTAGTCAGTAAGAGTCTCTCTCGTCTTACTCTGGGTGGGAGAAGTTGATGATTTTCCCTAACAAAAAAACCACGTTCCTTCTCCTGCTCTAGGCCAAGTTTACTTCACAACCTCAGCCGCAAATTAGTCCTGTTGGGCCCCATCTGTGGTGGTCTATTGCTCTTAGAAGCGCGCGTGAAACGCTCCGCGCTGTCCTACACTCAGGTCTGATGCTGGTCGGCGGCGAGTTACCTTTAAAGAGACGCTAACGTTTTTGTTAGGATTACTAGCTGTGTCGCGCTTAAATCGGTCAAGTAGTTTCGGAGCCTATTCAATACATACAAACACACAATCAAATCTTAGTAGGGTAATATCAAATTTTGAATGCTTGGCGCATTGGCTGACACGCAAAAACTCTTTATACGATTCACTAATTGTTGTTTCGGGTCTAGGTGTCATGTGTGTGCAATTGTATGTTTGTAAATGCATCTACGACACAGGAGAACACACATGTATGCGGAGTAATTTATTAAAAAAATAAACAAAAATAATAACAAGAAATGACATCCAGTGATGTCACAATTGTGTAATTACTTAGTGACGTCACACGGTCGTAATTGCGTGAGATAACAATGATTGGTGTCGCTGTCCTTTGTGTACATACAAACATAAACTCATATCTTTGTTATGTATTATGTGGGAGTTAGGTACTGCAGCGGATAGTACGCATAATTTGTGAATCATACGTCGGAAACTGTAGCTTCTTGCATATACCCTTGCAAACTTTAAAGTGTGGGAGAGCCATGCTTCGGCACGAATGAGTCGGCTCGACCGGAGTGATACCACGGCCTCACAGAAAACCGGCGTGAAATAACCACTGCGTTGTGTTTCGCCGTGTGAGTGAGGTTACCGGAGGTCCAATCCTTCCCCTTCCCCAATCCCTTCTCAATCCCTAAATCTCCAAATCCCTAATCCCTAAAAGGTCGGCAACGCACTCGTAACTCCTCCGTTGCGAGTGTCCATGGGCGGCGCTGATTGCTTACCATCAGGTAATCCGTCTGCTCGTTTGCCGACCTATTACATAAAAAAAAAACTTCCTTTAGGGTCACTTTTTATGGCGTAAGTCGGCAAACGAGCAAAAAAACTTATCTGGCTCTTATCATTAGATACATCATCGTCTTTAAAGATCTTTTGTTTATTGAGATAATTAATAATGTAGTTATTACGTGACGCCGAATGTTGTGAGTGTTCGTTATCGCATAACTTCCGCTTGGTAACAATGTAACTATGGTCTGAGGGTAAACAATGTTAGTTTGGTCCGGCAAGTACACAGGATGTCTAAGTATAGAAAGAAAATAAAGGAACATTTTAGCACTATGAGTCGAATTTGATGTGTATCCATGCATACATTCAATGACAAACGGGCTGACAGGCCACCTGATTGCTGACAGCCGGGGTTGCGGGGTAAGCGTAATGAGGCACCGCGACCTCGGCCCAGAGCAGGAGAAGGAACAGGGGGTTTTTAGTCAGTAAGAGTCTGACAGTCTGTCCCTCCCGCCCGGCCCTGAGCGGGAGAAGTCATTTGATGATTTTCCCCTAAAAAAACTTGATTACTGACCTCCGATCTCCTGAAGAGTCATAGACGCGTGCGTACAAGGGGTATGCTCGTTTCTTGAACATTTGAATGTTTTATTGGTTTAAAAATACCGCCACCAAAAATAATTCCAAAGTTTTGCTGGACGAGGCAAAAAGTTTCTCGGGAATCGCACAGTTGTTGACTGCCATCTTTATTATAGGGATGAAAATGGTTTCGCGTGGGTCGATGGCGGTAAAGATGCAGCGGGGATCAAACCGAACAATTCGTCAGAGCATTCCCCATGATATAGGCAATAGGACACATAGCGAGGCTACATTCCTACGCAGTGCCGCCCAATAGTCCAGTCAGACTAAGACATCAGGGCAGTCAAAGGTTCGAACGACCCGGTTCAGAGGGAGAAGCTGGTACTGGGGTAATCTCGCCTATAGATGAGCATAGTATTCAATATGGGGCTAAACCTACCTCTTAAAGTATCCCATGCGAAGTTTTGGAGTGAAAAAGATAAATCATCTGTCAAAGACCATTTATTATAACGTGCTCCGTAATATGTTTCAGGCCGTTCGAAGATCTTTCTGCTAGTGCTTCCGATGGCGTGGGCACTGGTAGCAGTCGGGCCCTACATCTGGTGGCTATCGGTGGAAACTAGTAGACACATACTATTACCAGTGCCGCCAACCCTGTCTCTGGAGCATTATCGATGGAACAGAAGCTTGCACCATTACTTGGACAATATGTAAGCATAAAAACCAAGACTATATTGCTGGACACACATACTGGTAAAATGTAGATGCAAAAAGTGGATGATGGTGTGCACTTGCTTGCCGAGAATGGAATTATTAGGTTACGATTACACAGTCAATTTTTAATGGGAAATTTACACACTAAAAAATGGCTTCACTTTTAACATTAAATCGATACCCTTTTTTTAGTGTGGCAATGTGTTTTTAAAGCTGGTTGTGTAAACTGTTCCAGCCAGACCCTGATCGAGCCGTCAATGCTTCCCTGCACTAACCCCGATGAGATAGTGGTGCTGGTGCTGGTGGCTAGCGCCCCCCTCCGCTTCGAGCACAGGCAGGCTGTGCGAATGACCTGGGGCGCACATCTACCGACCTACTTCGTGCTCGGTTTACAAGGGGACAATGTTGATGAGCAGCTGGTCTGTGTCTTCCATGTTGTTTTTCTAATTTAGACCTAATCTTCCATTGCGTCTCAATCGTATGGCGCGTAGTGTTGAGCGCGCCTCAAAGAGCCAATAGACCACCACAAACGGGGCCCTATAGGGCTGATGTTCAGCCGGGGTTGCGGGTCAAGCGCTAGAGCCTAGAGCAGGAGTAGGAATGGGGCAGTTATTAGTCAGTAAGAGTCCTACAATCCCTCCCGCCTAACCCTGGACTGGAGAAGTCATTTGATGATTGTTCCATCTTAAAAAAAATCTTCCATTACGTCGGTCAGCCTTGTTCAACACTGCTTCTAATGTAATATACATACTATCTTTACGTGTCATTTTTATTCTGCTTTCAATGACGTCTCATTATGTCTTTTTTTGAGGGCGGTATTACAGAACACTCTCGACCACGGTGAGCGAGAGAGAGTCTCAGACTCTTACTGAATAAAAGGCAGAGGCCGCGGTTACTTGATTATTGCGCTTGCCTCGCAAACCCGACTGAACATCAGCCATGTTGGCTCCTGTCTGTATTGGTCTATTAGGGTCTTTGAGGCTTATCATGTCTGGGATTTCAATCACTACTAGCAGAATGGCATAATCGCTGAGCCTGGGCTTTCTAGTTTTGCTTGATCGATATCAGGGTCAATTTCTAAAGTAACCATATCAATTGATACATACCTATACAAAATTCTCCATAATATTTCTGTTTCCAAAAAACTCTCTATTGGATGAGGTCTTAACTTATTCTGGCGAAATGACAAATTGACAGGCCAAAAGATACAACTTAATCATCACAACTTAGTACAAAACAAAGTTTTTTCTGTCCCTATATCCCAGTATGTATGCTTAAATCTTTAAAACTATGCCACGGATTTTGATGCGGTTTCTTGAATAGATAGAGTGTTTGATGAGGAAGGTTTAGATTTATAATAACATCCATTACACAACAGTGGAGAAATTAAGTATCAGCGTTGAACCCGAGCGAAGCTGATGCGGGTCGCTAGTTGTTTTATAAAACAGAAACAAGGATTAATAGAATTGTTGTTGACTTTCATTCCAGGTAGACAACTACATTGAAGGAAAGCAGTACAGCGACCTGATACTCTTCGAATTCCACGACCATTACCAGAACTTGACGCTGAAAACCGCGCTGATGATGAAATGGACTCTGCAACGTTGTCCTCAAGCTCAGTTCCTATTCAAGACTGATGATGATGTCATGGTGAACCCCTGGACACTCCGCAAAGTGCTGAAGGAGAATGAAGATGCTCCGCTTCTGGGTAACAATATCTAGTCATAAGTTTACTGCAAAATGAAGCATAATGGCATAAATATTAGCCCTATTGTCCCTTAAAGAACGGAAAATTCATACTCTTATAATTTTGACCTCGGTAAAGTGGTGAAGTGGTAAAGTCCAAGGATAGGGTACAGCTGTATTGTTTGCGTCAGCTCTATTGGCCGATGGTAAGAGATTTGGTCATTGAAGACACCTGGATCCTTGAAGACCCTTAGACGGACTTTGCCACCGATTCTTCTAAACAACCTTGGATACTATTTGACTTGTGGCACTCACTAAAAATGAGATATCTTATTTTGACCAAAAGTACTGAAACTCCACATATAAATAGTCTTGTCTGATGTTAGTTGATTCAGGTTCTCATATAATTAATTAGGTATGTACATGTTTTAAAGTATAATACCTTCTTTTTTATACATATTCTCTTGAACGGCAACAATACTTTCATGACACTGTGTGCAGGCTATAACAAGAGGAACACATACCTCCACCGCGACGAGTACAGGAAGTGGTACACTCCTCGATGGATGCTGCGAGAGGACCGCGTGTCTCAGTACCTCAGCGGCACCGGTTACCTAATTAGCGGTGAGCTCATCATTCTTTGTTCCATGTTCAGAAACTGAGACTTAATTTTAAGAGGTAGAGGCAGCTGGATCTTCATATTATTAGTCTCCTAAATGTGACCTCCAAGGCTAAGCCTAATAAGCGTTGGGCAGCGGATATCTCTCTTTGTTCAGAATTTCATGGAGTCATGTAATTTTATTATTGCGCTCATAAGTGTTTGTTCAAAGCTCAGTTTACCATTTTTATTTTCTATTTTATTTATCTGTTTGATGAGAGCCTATAATTGGGCTCGTGTTGCAAAATTTTTGTTGCAAATATGCATTATTTTTGGTCTTTCTTAACATCAAATAAATCTTTAAATTGTTATTTGTTGAATTTTAATTGTATATTATTTTCTTTGTATTTTATTCTATATTTCCTTGATGCTATTTAGGTACTTTAAAGTAAACTTAATTTGGTTTACGGGCTAATGGCCAGTGCTAATAATCATCATGTGGTCTGTAGGTATTTTCCTTGTACTCGTTTGGACACCTATCCCATAAAAAAGGTTTGAATTTGTTTTACAAGTCAATGTGTTATTTTGCCAATAGATCTAAGTTGACAAGCTGTGTTCCTACAAGTTCCTTACAGGCAAAGACTTTAGTTTTACCGATTTTTGCTCTGGATCCGACATAATACAACAAAAGGTTCCCAAAAAAAACTAGTGTTTGAATTGTGCAAAAACTTCTACTTTCAGGGGATTTCATATCAAAAATTTTGAAGAACGCCTACGAAGTGCCCATGGTGAATCTCGAGGACGTATACTTCACGTACCTGGTGGCACACCGACGGCTGGGCCTGAGGCTGGTCCACGAGCGCCGGCTGAGCCCTTACAAACCCTGGCTGAAGGCCTCGTGCCTCTACTGGGACCTAGCATCCGTACATAGCATGGCACCTGACGAGATGATCACGGCGTGGGCCAAAATAGAAAACTACGGGAACATGGACCACCATAGTGACATTTGTTGGTTTTTTAACAAGTATTTAAGAGGTTATAGTGAACTAGCGTTATATTGATGTCACTGGGGCAAGTGCGCGGTGACTGTTGATATTATTGGACTCGGAAATAAGACTAATGGTGAAGAGTTGATAGGAAGGACAAGCAAACAGAAACAACATTCTAAATAAGTTTTTATTTATTTACATTGTCATAGTGAAGTGGTTATTAGTCCTTATTATTTATTTTGGTACCTTTGTTACAGTTTGTATTTGAACTATGGGGTGGTAAAAGGCTGATTTATTATAATACATGTTGTTTACGTAAATTTTTAGTAACGTAATTAGGTCTAATTTTCATTGATAAATGCATGGTGCACGGATACAATAGAATTTTCCCCTGTGCCATGGGCGCCTTTACAACCATATAAATTCACATACAAAAGCTACCCAGACATGAAATAGCCATAATTAAATAAATAAGGCGTTTACAAATTTAAAAAAATACGATACACCTATTTTATGGGAGGGTATGAATGATAGTGAAGTAAATCTACGTGTGGAGAAACGTTTTCGTTAAAAAAAAATACATAGATAGGGTAAGGTGTAAGGTAAACACAATGTTTTTTGTAATATATTTATATTTTTTATAAAGTAGGGGTTTTTAATAAATAAATAGCAAATTAAATATCTTCATTATTACCTACATTACAACATTGTTAAGATAATGTATGTTGACATTATTAATATGTACCTGATATTTTGTAAGTAATGTGTAATAAAGTTTTATAATTAACATTAATATTTATTTATTCTCACTCTTGGTGCGCTAATTGCTTTGTAAGTTGCTTTTAAAATATGTTATTTCTTAAATATGACGTATCCATGGAAGTTAAGGACAGAATCAACTGGAAACCTTTATTTTAATTTCGAAAACGAAATATTTTTTATGGTATTCATACACCAGAAACTGGATTTAAGAAGTATTTATACCTATAGTTTCTTACTCGTTATTCTCCATTCGAATCTACAATTTGGAACGAGCACCTAGCTTAATTGACGAAAAGACTGACAGACTTATTCTATTTTAACGTTTCAAAAGAACCTATTTATAGTTTAATTGAAATAAAAGATCTTGAGTTTGAGGATTGGAAAAGTATTTCAAACCTTCAAGAAACGTGCGTACTCCTTAATAGGCCGGCAACGCGCCTTTGACACTTCTGGTACAGCAGGTGTCCATGGGTGGCGCCGATCGCTTACCATCAGTTACCCAAGGCCTCCTATTCCATTAAAAAAATGATAGAAACCTTTGAAAACGCAAGCATCGTTTCACGCCGGTGTTTTGTGAGGCCGTGGTATAACTCCGTACGACTCGCACTATTTGTTTCTAAGCATCGTTCTTAATGTAATGCTAGAACATTCTAGAATATTCTAAGTACAGTGAGCTGGGAGGTAAGTCGGTATCAGTGCCAGATGTGCGCAATGGTCAGTATGCAGGTGTGTGTCCGATAAGGCTGGCTAGTGCGGGACAATTTGATGTCGTTTTTTAATTACATTCATACAACGCAGGGCCGGATTCGATGGCTGCCAAAATGTTGCGTTTTCACTGTTGTCGTTAGTGTATATGGGGCTGAGCAAATTTTTAATCAAAGTTGATTTGTCTCTTGTATTACAAATGTTTACTAAGTTACTATCGATCGTTGGTATTTTTAATAATGAAGGCTAATACTACGACGCGCGGTACGTGACGCTCCGTGCACTTGGGTCTGCCCGTGTTAACGTGGTGGCGTATCGCGCGTTTCCGACGCCTGGAGTGTCTTCTGGAGCCATCCCAAAATGACAACAACGGACACAAGACTTACCCAATTAAATGACACGGAACATAACTGATCCAAAGTGAGTGCTTCAGAGATTATTTCGAAACTTAAATTAAAACATACCCACTTGGATTCGTCCCTGTGTTCTTAAACAATGAATCAAAGGCTTCATTGAAGCGGAACGTGGTATATAACGACAGAGAACCTGCTATCTTTACTGATTGCACCATGGACATCAAGCTTACAATTGTATTCCTCGTCGTCCTGGCTCTCATGGTCAGCGATCCCGTCAGCGCTGGTAAGTCGAACTTCAAACTTTGTAGTAAAGTAATAAAGTCTAATTTTTATTGTAAATTTACCCCTTAACAAGTGAAAATTGAAGCCAAAACTAAACTTTATCACTCATTGAATAAGATATAATTTTGTATTTTTGGTTTAAATAAAATTAGACTTTATCTCGCTAGTTATAGTGATGCAATTATCTTGTTTTGGACATTGTCATGATGCCAATGCACATCAAGATGGTGTATGTAAAGGCCAGCGTAGCTTAAATTGGAAAGTGAGTTTTAAAAAATGTGGCATCATAAGGTTGGGTATACTGAAACAAAGATGGTAAACTGAAGTTCGTGAAATTTAAAATTACTATTAAAACGATGAACCACATACCTAAGTACTTGCCTAAAGTAATTCTTCATTTAATCAGATTTACTTACAGCGAATAATGTATTAATATAATTGCTTGAATATCAAATTTTATTTGGCTAGTTTAGGCAGTAGAAGTAACAAAAATAAATGATGTTAGTATTTGACACGTCTACTAACGCATTAGAAACTTTTTAGACTTTAATTACAACCACTATAGACCGAAACTAAACGAAGTTGGAAAGGATAATTCTGTATTCAAATGTGTTCCTGGTCGTACTACCTTAAAAATGAAAGAGAGGAAGTTAACCCTAGCTGGAGAAGATTCAAACGAATCTGACGATTATACGAGAACAGTGCCGAGAGGTCGGCCACAAAGTGTGACGCGGCCCAAGGACGAGACTTGCTTGATATGCGTGTGCTCCGTTGACGGCCAACATGAGTATTGCAAGAGCAGATCCTCGGACACTCTGAATGAGTGTATCATGATTAAAGATATCAATGAAGAATTTCGCTCCTTGATTCCGTTCGTACACTCCAGGAACTTGTTGTACAGAATCAGACGAGGTTTGTGGAGACGGTGCAGCTAACTATAGAACGGTTGAGTGGTAAGCTCGCGGCGCCACCATATTTGTTAGATAGGTAGGACACATTGTCACTCGGCACGCCATCAAACTCGTAGGCATTTAAATTAAATCGTGCACTTGATAAGTCTGTCCTTAACGTTACATTATATGAAAGAGCATATTTCAAGTAAACATTACATTTCATCGCAGATTATTTGTGGCACAACGACGAGATCCCATACTCACCCAAAGACAAGTGCTTCCGCGGCCACTCGTACTACAGCAACAGTCCGACGGCTAACGACACTGACATTGACCTCGCCTCCGATGTCGAGTCGTTGCTCGATTATAACAGCGCAAACACTTGCTACTACTGCGTGTGTGCCGTCGACGGCCAGTCCGTCGGTTGCATACACAGAGACGAGTCTTTCTGCAACTTCTTTAGAGTCATCAGATCTGAAAAGCGTATCAGGGATAGGTACACCTCTCTCCTCGAGCAGGACCGGCCCACTTACTTCAGACAGCTGTCCTGGAGACTGAGGAGGACCATGGATAATGGCATTTATGACTTAATTAATGCTGGTATGATCTTGGTCTCGCTTGTATTACTTTGCCACTTGTTCTTTTGTTGGGTCCTCTGTTTTCAGGATCTTCTTAATATTTTGGTATCATAAGTAAACATGTTGTCGATAGTTTTCTTTTTGTGGCTATTTGTTACGTGTTTTGTTGCGCTGTGTAGTGATCAGTGATTCTTATGAATAAATTCTATTTATTTTGGTGGTCATACAATACGTACATTTAAAAAAAAGATGGTACAGTGTCTATTCACAAATAAAGATCGTTGAAAACAATAACAAATCTCGGGAAATCATACGGAGAACATGTTGCAGCAGCAAATATTGGCAATGTTGTTAGAATTGTCGCCTTTTGCAAGCCAATCGATGCCTGTAGTCTATCTATGTCTAAAAATACGATTTCAATGTTTAATCCCGAGTAATGAAATAAAAATTGGTGCTTGCAGGAGGCGACACCTTGTGCTGCAGCCATCCAGATGGCCACCGGAGGCAGATCCATAATGAGGTGCGGAACAAACTAAGGACTTTGAAGAGGAGGATCCCGAAGGAGAACCTGCTGGGAGGGTCAATGAGGGAGGACTACGTGGACTTCGTCGTCAATAACGACTAAAAACCTCTAAAACTAAAAGAACACACTATATGATGATTGTTTCAAAAGTGCGGGATATACATGAATATTTATTGGAGATACGGATGGATTACTAGAACGAACTATTGAACAAAACTTCAAATCATAGTGTCGAGAAGAAAATACGAAAATAGCTAACCAAAACATTATGATGATGAATATTTTGAAATTACAATAATTTGGAGAAACAAAACTAGAAAAGGAAAACATTGGAAAATAATTTACATCTACTGAATAATTTACATCTAAAAATGATCGTGGAAGTGATAGTGATAGTTCTGATAATTGTGTGGAGTGAATATGTTAATTTTTATTTTTATAAATGACATCCATATTTTATTAAATTATTTAACGACAATTATTAAGATTTAAATGATTGCAAAATGCCCTGATTCAGTTTTCTTCAACACTTTCAATGTTTTTTGCACCCTGAGTACTCATATTTCCGACAACTTCTAGTTATGACTTATGGCACTAAAAAGTCATGCACAATTTATAAGCACTACTTCAACCGTTTTATTGTTAACTGCACCATGCACATGTTTTTTATTACTTTTTGATAATTTTATTTCTTAGAATTAAGAACCTTATATTTCAAAGACACCTTACATTATAGAAAAACTACATACTTCATATCCACGACTCAAAATTTCTGAATATAGATTTTACGAAAGTTGTAAAAAAAGGATTAAGAAAAGGATTTTTATATAGAGTAGAAACAAGGATTAGTTGAAACCTTGTGAATATAATAAGTACAGTATATATAAGTAGTAATAATATTCAATAATGATGTTAAGGTAAGTGCAGTAAAAATATTGGAACATAGGACACTATAACAGAAAGACAAGAGAAACATTGTCCATTAGAAATTCAGTAAGAAGATTAAGAAGAACATCTAGATGTATATGATAGTTTTTATAACGAGAGACAAATGTATTGCCTCGATAAAGTAACATATTTAAATTTGTCGTGATATGAGCGGTGAAAGAATCAACACAAAATTCATATTAATTAGCTGTAGACTTTTTAGATATTGCACAAATTACAATAATACTACTTAATACTACAATTTGTAAAACCACTATCTGGTAGAAGTGGTCTTTGGTCTTTAGTCCAGCAGTGGGTTTAGGTAGACGATGTAGTATTTTGAATCGATGGTCATGTTATTACGCCAACAGCTTTCAAATGATTTATGGGGAACAATTATTGATGACCTGTAAATGTGTGTTGTCTTTAAGTAAATGTACTATTTCAGTAAACCAAGATGGTCCTGCATTGAAGACGTGTTTGCCTTTTATATCTGAGTACTCCAACTGCAACGATGGTAAGTTGCCATTTTTTATTTTCTTTTCTATTTTCATCTTCACAAGTGAACCTGGGTTCGATTCCTGCACGGAACAAGCCTTTCTGTGTACAACAAATTGTTGTTCCAGATCTGGGTACGATGTGTATCTGAAATTGTATATTTGTATACGCAACTACGACACAGGAGAACATCCAAGTGTAGGCCAGCGTTTCATTATAATACTGCTATTTCAAAGGTTTAACCCCTGAAGCAGATAGTGGTCAAAATTCCAGAGCCTAGAGTCTGTAGTGGGTATTATTAAGAGAGTTGGAACTTGATTCATAAAAATCCAAATGCACTGAAGTCATACTTTGTATGCGACGAACGAATACTCCACTTATGTCACTTGTCTTTCTTCAAACACGTATGATTTTGCCGAGAATCTTATTTTTAGTCAAAAAGAAGCAATTTATGTTCTACGCTTATTCTACAAAAAAACGTGGTATTAACTAGGTCTGTTCAAGGTTCAATTTTGACAGATTTTTTTTCTTATAGAAACGTTGCCCCACACTAGGATTTTCTCCTGTGTCGTGGGTGCGTTTACAAACATAGAATTCCACATACACACGACAACCAAACGCGGAACAACAATTTTTGGATCACACAAAGAGTTGTTCCGTGCGGGAATCGATCCCGATCACTAACCGTGCAGTCCAATAAAATTAACGATTTATTGTCATGTTTAGATAATCTATGCTCCGGCTGCAGTAAATGCACTTGCACTAGTGAGGGGAAATGGTCATGTTATGATGTAAAGGAGTGCCCATACTTTTCTCCCGATGAGGACCTAAAGAGTGATTATGAAATTGACGAAGATGACATATTTGATAACGCCCTCGGAATGCTGGAAGTTGGTAAGCTTATTAAAGATTTAGACATGTCTTGGCAGATTAAATTCTAAAGAATAAAAATTCTTATCTACTCGTAAGTGAAGTGAATAAGTAGAAAATATAAAATGATGATGAAAAGTCAGCTCACGATTTAACGTCCCAAAGGGTTATTTACAGCATATTAAGGCTCGACTATGGACAATAAGTATAAAAAAATATTCATTATATTCTGCCAATTGAGAAATTGCTACATTCACTACTTAATGGTTCCAATTTTGATATTAGGCGTTAATTTTGACAGAGATGGGCAAGAAAAGCAAGCAGAATATTTTCACATCCGAGGATAGTCCGCTAGTACCCACCCCGCCACCAAAGCGGGTAAAAGATGAACTCCTAGGTGAGGCTTAAACATTGTTGTACTTGAAAAATTTGTTTTACCAATCTTTACGGCACAGTTTTTTGCTATCTGACAAAACCTCTGAGCTTCTATCAAATATCTAAGCTAAATAATTATTTTTCCAGGTTATTTGGTAGTTATACCACGACAAGAGCACTGAGTCGCACTTTTCTTAATACAGCACTGTTGCACATTACTAATTTAGTTTTATTTTTATATATGTTTATAACAAGCACTATTTTGGTAAGTGGTTTGCGTTGTATGAGGACCCATTGTGCGCGTATATTAATTTAATTTGGTTATATATTACAGCTCCATACCACGATGATTTGGATGATTGGGTTGATTCTTTAAGTCGACCAAAAAGGTCTGTTAACATGGCCAAGGATCACAAAAAGCGATCAGCGGGAAGCGGTTCTCCGAGTAATTCAAGTAACAACAGCATCCATTTCTACAATACAGTTGACGAAATAAATGAAGGTATTGCTATTTTACTAACCCACCAATCTTATAATACTATAAATATAGAAACGATTGATAAATTAAAAATTGTTTCAGATACTTTAAAAGGCAGCAATCTAACAGGCACAGTACTTGCTAAGAAGGTTGATATGGTACCACCTCTCACAAGACGTTCGGAAACTGTTCTAGGTAACGGTAGTAAAGCACTCCAGATAGAATTCAACCAACCCCAGACATACCATCCAATAACTGACAATAAAATAGAAGTAGAACAAGAAAGTAAATTTGATTCAAGTCATGAAAGTCTGAAAACTTTTCTGGGTAACTATAGTCAGGAAGCAAAAAATAAACATGTATCCAAGATTGTTGTCAATGAGCTGAAGAAAGGCAGTGAAGTCATTGGAGACGCAACTGCTCCTGTTATGTCGAACATTACTTTTACTCCTGAAAATGACACATTAACAGCAATGGCATTCATTGCTGGCAATCTTTTAAATAAACTGTGGAACATGGAAAAAGATGTTTTTGCGTCTTCGATGGAAACAAATGCATTAAAACAAGAAAAAATTGCTGATCTTCTCGACCTTTTTAAGGAACCCCTAAATCTAAGACAAGAAACGTTTCTTAAGAATGCACTTGAACAGTTGTCTAGTGCAATAGATAGACAAAGAGATATCAAAAATATTTCTATATGTGAAACCTTTCAAAATACTAACAATACGAGTGATGTAGGCGACGAAACCAAGAATGTGCCATGTACACATAAAGAAAATAACGAAAACAAGAGTATTGGAGAAAAAAAGATAAAAGCAACTGCCAAAGCTATAACTAAAATACACAATGTTTTAGATTTGATCAGAAAATTTGAGCGTATTCAAGGAAATCTGAGTGACCTTAAACACGGTCCAAAACTAGATTTTACACATCATGGTTCAAAGAAGGATGGCAATAAATATAGTAAAACTACATTAACTAATGACGAAACTTATTCCTTAAATGTGTTCGGAAATCTTTTAGAAAAAATAACAAAACTTATATTACCAAAACGAAATAATAAGAAAGTAAAGAATTTTATAACTAGTCAAAATATATTATCAGGTAATGATCATTTGAAGAATAAGTTTAAGAAAATGTATAACATTGATTTGACTAACATGACAGTCACGGCTAAAGATAAGATAATTTTGGATTATTTGACTCACGTAGAAAGAAACCCAGATTGTTTACTAAATAATGATAATGACGAAATTGAAAATGTATCCACTGTTGAAGGAAATATTTTGCTGAAATTATCCGAATTCCTCAAACTGAAGACATTTGGGGATTTGTTGAAGTTATTAGAACCGGAGCGAACCACTCCCATTCATGGTAATGGAACAGACCAACCTGTGGTTGAAACTACTACTTTACTCGCGAAAGAGAAAGTTTCAACAAATATAAAACGTGGTGATCCTAGTAAATTTAATTCAACAAAAGAAAAACTTAAAGCTCATTTAAAAACAATTATAGAGGATCTAATGGAATTGCAAGGAACTAAAGGATTAAGTTTAAAAGGTCATATCAAAATAGCAGATGCGTTACCTTGTATCTACAATATTTTAAAACCCTACAGTGTAGAGAAAATTTCTAAAAAAGAAAAAATAAACGACCCACTAAAAAAAGTGGCCTCTATATTTCAAGAGATAAAAAAAGAAATGAAAGTTGTACAAACACGTAGAACTTTAAATAATATTATAACGGAAAGGCCAAAATCTGCAGTTGTGTGGGAACGATTGGTGAAAAACTTAAATAACAAAACTAATTTAAGCAGTCGTAGGACGTTAATTGCTAAAATGCCGAAATCGTATGAGCAAATCAAGGAAATGATGGAGCACATTGAAAATAGCAGCTCTTCGTACAAGCAGTACGCTTTGATTGTTAAAACTCCTCCTTCGGCTAAACTGATACTACTCAAAGCCTTGGAACAAGATGTTCAGGCCACTATCAAGGTACTGGACGATATCTTATTGTCTCTTCAAGATTTAATAAAGTTGCCGAAAGACAAGTTGATGGAGCTGGAAGAGTTTATAAATAATATGGTAACAGGGCTTAAATTGACCGAAAAAGTTTACCAAAAAAATAAACCAATAGAAACAAATGATCAGACAAGGTTTTTAAGTAATGACCTTCAATCACAAATGTTAAATATGATAAAGAATAAACTGAAGGGGAAACAGTTGCTGAGTGAGAATGGGAGAAGTGAGGAGAGTGATGCGTTGAAAGTTAGCAGGGCGCAGATCATAGCCCAACTGATAAGAAATCGTGTAAAGCAATTTATAAATGAGAAAGAACTGAATAAAGGAGCCACTCAAGACATTGAATATGTTATTGCACGAAGGATATTGCACTCCTTAGACGTTGGAGATTATAAGCTTGCTAACGATTTGTTCAAAATGCTGTTTTATCAGAAGGGAAATAAACTACAACCTTTTTCTCCAGATCAGTTTGTAAACGATAAGTATTTTGGTGAGTTTTACTGTGGTCTATTTTTGGTTACCAAGCAATTGAGTTCAATGAATAGTTTGATTAAGATAGCGTTATTTTTTCCAGTATCATCGACATTGAAATACAGCGATATTCCAATGCGTCGGGTGGCACAGCCACGTAAGGAGATGAGCCCGAGCACGATGTTTGAGGATCCAACTAAAATGAAGGCCAAGTACAAGGACTGGATAAACCAGGACCACCTGATCAAACAGCTATTTAATATTAAGAGCATGAGAATGTAGAATTTAATATTGTCAGTATTTTTATATTTTTCAATAAATTTTGTATATACATTTAATTTTGTATTTGTATTTTTTTTTGTTTATGTAATAGGTCGGCAAACGAGCAGACGGATTACCTGATGGTAAGCAATCAGCGCCGCCTATGGACACTCGTAACGGAGGAGTTACGAGTGCGTTGCCGACCTTTTAGGGATTAGGGATTTGGAGATTTAGGAACTGGGGAGGGATTGGGAAGGGGAAGGATTGGGCCTCCGGTAACCTTACTCACACGGCGAAACACAACACTGTGGTTGTTTCACGCCGGTTTTCTGTGAGGCCGTGGTATCACTCCGGTCGAGCCGACCCATTCGTGCCGAAGCATGGCTCTCCTAAACTTGTATTTCATAATAAAGAGACATCGTATATCGACTGTACGGTTGGCGTGGCGGCTGGGCAGCTGGCTGCCGTGCAAAGTGGGTTTGATTCCCGCATGGAACAATTCTTTGTGCGATCCACAAATTGTTGTTCCGTGTCTGGGTGTGATGTGTATGTGAATACAGTTTCATCAAATTGACTTGTTTGTAAACCCTCCCACGAGACAGGAGAAAATTCAAGTGTGGGGCAACATTTTATGCTAAAAAAAATATAAAGAAAGAAGGAACTTTCTGACTGGGTTTTGATTTATGCTTAACTTATTTTGCTGTTTTGAAAGATTGAAACGGAAATATTATTATCTCAGAAGGAACAACAGATATATTTGTACTTTATCACTGATTGTACTTGACATGACAATGATCACAGATTAATTGTTTATAACTTGACTTGAATCCATGATTGGTCATCTCGGGCTAGTGAGTGTTGCTCAAACTGTTGTTCTTCACTTGGTTGCCGTAGTTTTTGGAGTTATTGTATTTCCATTTCGCTTTAGGTCTTCGTTTTAGGTGTTGTAGCCCTCCTCGTCATATGTTCTGAAAACAACCATGTTTTAACCAATATCTATAGGTATTTATTAATTTATTATGCATTAATTGAACCTTAACCAAGAAGTTCAAGTAATATTTTAGGATTAGTAAGTGGATTTTTTTTATAACGAACTGTGTGATACCTATTTTAGTAAAATAATATAGTAGTAGAACAGTATTTTTGTACCACGTATTAAAGCCATGCTTTTCTTCTTCCGTCGTCGGCAAGGCGTGTGGAATTGGCAGTGGAAGATTTCTTGTTTTCTTTTATTTTCGGATTAACCTTGTGTCTTAAATATCCTGGTATGATGTTCTTGATACGTGCTGTGAATTTATCTAAAACGAATCTTTTTTTTCTCGAAGACACTTCCAAGTTTTTTTGCCATTTCTTCATTGCCTCCTCATATTCTGTGTACCTTTTTTCTGTTATTTCGTCTAACTTTTTCTTTGCAAGTTGTTTCACTATGTCTGATTTAGGAACTTTTCTGTGTAGAAGTTCTGCGATATCTTTCTTTGAAGTCTCTAGTAGACTGCGGATGTGTTTTATAAATGAACGACTCTTTTTCTTTTTTGAATCAGTTTTGTCTTTGATTTTTGTAGTGGCAGCTTCAGTTTCTACCAGAGCGTTTGTTGTGTCTGGTGAATTAGGTTTTTGTGAGTAGTATCTCATTATTATTTGTATTTTGTTGTGAATAGCAGTCAGGCCGACGTTTATTTTGTCAATTACATTATCGCTTACTTTATCTAACGAAGGCAGCATTCGTCTGCTGTGAGAAAATTCTATCAAACCTAAAACGTCATTCATTTTACTTATATCTGAAGTTAAAACAAAATGTAGTATTTTCATTCTAAACAGGTTGGCAAAAGGAGTGCTACTTATAAGATTCGCAGAAATATCCCGCCACTTAGTACCAATCATATTTAAATCATTGGTCAAGTTATAACTCGGATCGTGCACTCGCAACCCCTCCACGCCATGTTCATCAAAATAGAAAGAGTTTATAATGCGTTTCATAATTTTTCTCGAAGTTGGCGACAATGGGGATAAAGCATTAGACTTAGGCGAGTCTTTATCAATTTCCTCTAAGATTTTAATCAAGCAGTCCTGGAATGAGATATAAGAACAACGGCCATCATTCTGGTCCATCTGTCGTCTAAAGTTCTTCATTTTCTTCATCTTTATTTTCTTTGGTTTAGCCTCCCATCGGTTTTTGTAAACATATCGTTTCAATGAGTGAAGGAGATAATTCAAGTCGTCGGGTACATCAGTTCCTTTACGCCGCTTTATTGTAATTATGTCTCGTATTACTTCGAAAATATCGTTTTTTAGTTTCAGCGTATGATTATCGTTTCCCTCGGAATTTGATCTTCTTAATCCAACGCCATAACCAGGGTCCATGACTAAGTTGTATATAGAGAAGTATGAGTTGCCTGTATTATTTTTAATGTCTTCTGGTATCGCGACATCACTATTAACGAACTTTGCGAGGTTTTCTTTGATATTCTTTAAATTTTCTACTTCTTTTATTTTGTCAACTATAACTTTAGTAAGTGGCACTAGGACACTTTCTTTGAAATTAATGGCAAGTGATTCTCCTGTGTAATTGTCCTTGGTGTTATTAGTGGTGTTTACTAAAATAGTCAGCATTGGCACTGTACTAGATGCTGTTGTTTTATTTTGCTCTGTGACATCTCTTTTCACAATGTTGATTGCGTTGTAATCTACTACGTCATTCATGTTTTCAAGTACATTAGTTTCTGTATCTTTGTTGAAAGCAACATAATCTGAAAAATATAATACTTTGTAATTATTTATTATTGTTAGGTACTTTGAGACGTTTTGGTGTTTTAAAGTAGTCTACTACTAAAACAACTGAGCAACAAATTGAAATACCAAACATACCTTCACTTGTATTTGACTTGGCTCCTAGTCGTTCAGCTGCAGGCAATAAGTCAATTACAATCTTGGTGGCTCCAGAGTCAGAGGACTCGGTTACAACATCGTCCTCTTGCATCAAGTTCATCATGTAGGCCAAGTTGTCACCATTAGCTTTATCACTAGTGATATTGTCTTGGTCAAAAATAATATAATCAATGCTAAAGCTTTCATTATTAAGTTTATAATCCAATGGCTTTCGTCGGTTGTAACTTTTGGTGTCCACTGCGATGCTTCGCAGCACTTCGTCAAATTCGAGAGAGTCTGTGTCTGTGTTACTTGTTTTTGACGCGGTTGCTGCCGTGGTAGAGAATGTTTCTGTAAAGGGGCTAGATTCTGAAAATGACACGTTACGTACATGTTGTTAGTTACTAGTTGCATATACTCCGGGCAAAAACGTTAATTTCACCTGGTGGTTATTCTAGCTAATTATTTTCAAATCAGCGTTAAATTGAGTATTAAATGTATTTATTTTAAATAGCAAATAAACGGTCAAAACTAATCGAATCCAAGAATTGGATTCGAAGTCAGATTCAAAATCTCAGTGGGGCGATATTTACATCATAAGCCTATAAGTGTCCACTGCTGAGCAAAGTCCTCTTCTCACAAGGAGAAGGTTTGAGCATTATTCACCACGCTTGCTTAAGACGGATTGGCGAATTTAAATATTGGTTTTCTCACAATGTTTTGCTTTCATTGTGCGTCAGTGGTGTTATCATAGAAATTACATACAACTCGAAAAAGTCACATTGGTAGCGAGTAGTAGTTATTTTTAATAAAAGTATACAAATTTAACGTTGTATGAAAAGCCGTGTCGCGTGTCTTATATTATCGAACTACCTCATTTCTTTACTTTAATTTCGATTTTACGCCATTTGACTCATTGGGATGAACAGTTGAAAGAATTTAAGATGGAACCTAGCAAAGATGAAGATTGTTGTTTGGAATACGAACGACTGCATTGGCTACCATTTTTCTTAGTATTGTTGGAGCAATTTTTTATCGTGGGTTTTCAATAACCAAGAATGATATGCAAAGAGATACATCACCAATTTTAACAGTAGATGTTCCATCGGTTTCATAATTTAACCCAGCTATTGTGACTTCATTGGATGGAGGCACCGAAGTGCTGATCTTTTTGTGTGTCAATGGCGCCATGCCATAGAACCACTTATAGATTCGTTCCAATGTGATGGTGCTTGAGGTGGTGGTGGTTTCTTCCGAGTTATTTCCTGCAGACCTCTTCACTTTCTTTGAATGTGCACCTGCAATAACAAAAATAATATTATTAATGCTAAAGTAACTCTTTCTGTCTGTCTATCTTTTCTTCACGCCTAAACTACTGAACCCATTTGTGTGAAATTTGGTACAGACATAGTTTGGAATTCGAAAAAGGACATAATTAGTTTTTATACCAAAAATCTGCAGGAAGTTACTATTCCACGTGAAAGGAGTAGCGGGCAAAATTTAGTTGTGCATAAAACAATCCGATGACGATGCTGTGGAAAAGGGTCACATTTATGCTACTTCTAATACAAAATGAGTATTTTAAATAAGCAATAAAAGTTTGTAACATTACTCTCAATTAAGTTCCCCATGACTAGCACGAGGACCCGGTGGTCGATGTTCAGCGGTGCAGGTCGAGTGTGGCAGGACGCGACGGTGGTGCACTGCCAGCGCCCGTTGCTGTCGCACGCGCAGCTCTTGCAGCCCAGGCACACGTTGTCTGTGAACAGCAGTAAGGTACTTGAAGTCAGGACGTCCATTCATAATGTGGACAGACAGCAACAACAAACCGCAGGGACCTGCTCACTGCAGATCGCCTCTACCGGATTATTTGGTAGTAATGCTTTTTTAAACCATTGCCCCACACTTTAATTTTATCCTATGTCGTGGGTGCGTTTACGAACCTACAATTTCACATACACACCACACCCCGACGGAACAAAAATATGTGGATCACACAAAGAGTTGTTCCGTGCGGGAATCGAAAACGTGACACGTTGCTCGGCAGCCAGTTACCCAGCCACCGCACCAACCGTGCAGTTAACGAAGGGAGACCTAAATGCAGCTGAGAAGGTCTTGTAGCAGAAATCATGATATGTGGCTGATGATGACCTATTTTCTGAAAAAAAAAGACGGTGAGAGGTGTGCTTTTTACGTGATAGGACCGAAGGAGTTCATTGCCGGCTTTTTGGGGATTAGGGTTATGGAGATATCGGAATGGAAGCTGGATTGTGTATCTTGTAAAGTCACTGACATGACGAAGCACAACGCTGTGGTTGTTTTACGCCGGTTTTCTGTGAGGCTGTGGTATTAGTCCGGTTAAGCAAACCCATTTGTGCCGAAGAATGGCTCTCCCACATTAAAAAGTATACGTATACATTTTCTACAAGTCCAAGATAATGAATGCTTCGCAAAATTTTATGTCAATAAGATACCATGTTGCGAATTCCATATCATGCGTCACAGTTTGTGCATTCAGCGCGTACGCCCTAACCTGACCAACTCAGCGGCAACATCCGTAGCGTTGACGTGTTTTAAAAAAACATCTTTGACTGTTTGTTAGTTGTTTTCGTCAAAGATAACATCCAGAGGAAATGCCAAGCTACAAACTTAAACATGCGAATTGTAATAGAGCTCATTGCACGGTTTTCCATATTTGCGAAAATGTGTGTGAGCCATCGATGATATTTAGGGAGTTTTAAGTCACATTTTTTACAGGAGAGCGTCATCAAATTCCTTCCCCTGCCCTGGGCGTAGCGAGAGGGTGTGATAGAATCTTAATAACTAAAAGAAACCCCGTTTCTCCTCCTCCTTGGCTGTTTTAAGTTATTCAATTTGCAAAATTTGTGAATGATTCATCTTCAAATATATACACAATGAATGTTTTCACAAACTCGTAAACATTATCCCAATTATGTTATTTTGAATCTGTAGTTTCTGTTATTTGTTTACATATAAAAACAATCGATTCATTAGTACATTTAATATTATACTGTAGTACTATTACGTAATACTACTACTGTAGACCATGCTAAAATAATTAAATTAATATATGTTTTTTGTGATTGTTTTTTACCTACACAAATGTTAAAATACTCTGTGAAAACTCTGTGACAAAAGAAAACAAAAACTTTTTGTTTTTGTTTTCTTTTGTTATTATTATTTTTTTAAACCATTTAATTTTTATCTGTGTCATTTAGTTTAGATTTTTAGTATTATTTTATTTTCTTCTTTTTTTTGTATTTTTGTTTTATGTGTGTGCGCTTGCGCGAAAATAAACGTTTTTCTTTCTTTCTTTTCTTTCTAAAGATAAATAAGCTGTCCGTGCTACAATCGCTGATTAGCCAAAAAAACAATAGTTGCTGAACTAAACCTTCTACTTATGATGTGTTTGAACGGGGCACATTATTGGATCCGTAATTTACGAAACAACCTCACACTCCAGTCGAGAAGGACCATTCGCAGCAAAAACATAGTTGTGTCCACGGTTTTGTCACACTTCTCTCTTATATGACAATTAAATAATTCAAGGATTGTGTAGTTACCTTTATTGCAGTTGGTGTACCGGGATACGTAAGGTATGCACTCCATGTCGTTGGACACTCCTGCAATTGAAGCAATATTTGTAACACTTTTCGAGGGATGATGATAGAGATTTTATTGCCAAATAGCTGTTCTTTTAGATACTAATAATGAAGTAGTACAGCCTGCATACAAATGTCTCACTGATTGTAGTTCAGTCATTTATCGCGCTCTTCAAAATATTTGTTCATCATCTAGTTTTTTTACATATTATTTTGACGTGTAATAATGCTGTTTTATGGCCTATTTGCAATAATAAATTCATTGTTTCATTGCACTGTTTCTTGGAGGTGTATATAAGGTATAAGGATATATGATAATGATATCAAATAGATGAAAAAACCTAATTGTTTGTCAAATACTCAAGAATACTAGCTATATTAAAGCTATTGAGATCAGAAAATAACATATGGCTTCATTAATATACTGGTACCTTTGTCGACCAAATCAAACATGAGGTCGTCAACCTCTCTCTTCAGTTCCTGGTTGTCAGCAGTTCCGGGTTCGTCATCATCCTTGGGCAGCCAGGAGTCGACCTCCTTGTAGTAATCACACCGCGACTGTTCCAAGGGTATGCATTCTTTCTCGTAGCAGAGGTTACAGTTTTCTGACCTTCGGAAGGCACTTCTTGAGTAGTAGAAGGTTGAGCAGCATGATATTGAAACTGTAGAGAGGAAAGATTTCCATACATAAGACAGTTGGTTTTAGAGAGTAATTTTTCAAGGGACACTATGGAGTGTAGACATGTTGTCATTGTTCTCAACATCATAATTATGACAAGACCTCCACTGCTGAATACAGACCCCCTCCTGCTTTCCAGATAAGCGGAGCGGATAAGCGGATAATTTCGGAGTGACCTGAATCCACGAGTTACCTACAACTTTGAATATATACTATTTAAACAGTCAATATTTCTTAGCTAGTCTGGACACACATGCCTTGACAGACACAGATGGACTAAGTCAGGAACAAGAGGGATGTCGAAAATGTGAAAAAGATTTGTAATATTACTAAATGAAGAGTGAGCCTTTTTATCTTGAGAGTCTACGACACCTCGAAGGTTGATGAGCCTGTCACTGCACCAATGGAACGGTTTAACAATAGTGTTAAGTGTGGGAGAACTATCCTTCGGCACGAATAGGTTGGCACGACCGGAGTGATACCACGGCCTTACAGAAAACAGATGTGAAACAAACTACAACGTTTTGTTTTGCCGTGTGAGTAAGGTTACCGGAGGCCCAATCCTCTCCCTCCCTCAATTCCTCCCCAATCCTAAAATCTCCGATTCCCGTATCCCCAAAATGTCGACAACGCACTCGTAACTCCTCGGTTGTTGCTGCCCATGTACACCCCCATGGGCGGTGCTGATTGCTTACCATCTTGTTTGGCGTCCTATTACATAAAAAAAGTCCTGGGAAAGTTTACATGGAAGGTGAAATCTCAGAGCCTAGAACCGGTTAGTTTTACTTTACGGGGAGCGACACATTTATGAAACACGGAGCTCTGTTTGGCCTGCGCGAATTTAACCAACCAATCGAAAAGCTAAACGACAATAAGAATGTAAAACAAATTCACACTAGGCATTCAGTAAACGCGCAATAAGTTTATAAAACATCATAGAAAAGGGATGTGAATGTTAAGTTATAATATTAAAACACGCGGTTTAGGAATGAAGTGTATGATGCATTCCCACGTTCAGAGCCTTGACGTCATTGAAAGATGTTAAACAAACTATTTAAGGCTTGTGAGAACGCATACTTGAAAAGAAAACTCGAAATTTTCAACAATAACATGGCGATTCCGCGCTTAGGAAAACCGTTACACATACCATGTTCACCTTTTCACAGTACTATTGCAACTGAATTAGACTGCACGGTTGGCGCGGTGGCTGGGCAACTGGCTGTCATGCAACGTGTTGCGGGTTCGATTCCCGCACGGAACAACTCTTTGTGTGATCCACAAATTGTTGTTCTAGGTGTGGATGAAATGTGTGTGAAATTGTATGTTTGTAAAAGCACCCACAACACAGGCGAAAATTCTAGTGTCTAGTGTAGTCTCAACGTTTTAATTAAGAAAAAAGCAAGTTATATTGCATTATTCTTAATTTTTAAAAAGAACTGCTTTATAACGCCCCTTTACCCGTATGAAAAGTAGGAGGAAAAACCATCCAATGACTTTTCCCAACCTGGATGTAAAGAGAATAGTGTCAGACTATCTCTGACTGAATAACCACCCCTTTTCTTGTCCTGTTCCATTACCTTATTGCGTTTGTAATAGAAACCATGGACTGGCGCCATCTGTGGTGGTATGACAGCTCGTAGAGGCGTGCGCGAAAAGCGACTCAAGAAAAGTAGCTTATTGGTTATTCCAGACCATAAGATATACATCTGTCACTATGTAAATTTCTTCAGTAACCTTTACGTGTAAAAGTAAAAATCATCCATTCATATGTACAAACTTCACGTTTATAATATTAATTGAATCAACATGTTACGAAATATACCTCATTGTACTTTATGTTTACAAAATTTGTTTACTTTAAAGCACTTTACAAGCTATTGTGTTGTCCAGTTATACAATTATTGTATTTTTCTTCATAGAGTTTCAAATTTTAATTGTTGATGACAAAACAAAACACAAGTCGATTTTACAAATATAACAAATGTTGACGTAGAAAAATAAATAATTTGATACTGAAAAAATTGCAATGAACCGCCATATTTCATTTTAATAACATTTTCGAATCTCACATCTTTCCACGAAAAATAATAATAATAAAATAAAATAAAGATAAAGCCACAGAGCCGAATTCAACCGGACGAATTAAAAAATACCAATGTAATTTTAACATAAATTAAATTAAAACATTCAAACTTAATTCTTTAAAAGCAAACATAACTGAGTAAATAAACTACCGATTACTATCTTTGGTAGTATCTTTACGATGGTATTGTGTATTGTGACGTTGTTATACATATCGTAGGATCTGTGTGTAAACAAAGAAGTGACGTATATTACCGGATAGAGCGAAGATGTAGAGAACACACGCCGATTCCAGCATCGCCGTCAACAATGATTGCCGCCGTGTCGTAACATTGCCTACTGTTTTTTAATACTATTGTTCTCACTTCGGGGGACGGACTCGGGGACACAGAACTACGAAACATACTATTTTCAGAGCTGTCCGCGCACGTGCGGCAATAATTAAGTCTTAATCGCGAAATTAATACTTGTTTTGGTATTTAAAACAGTATAGTAGTCGTCGATTATATTGAAGATTAGTAAAAATTATCGCTAATTATCACATGTTATTTCTACTTCATATCGTCAAAAATCTTAATCGGTTCTTCTTAAAGAAGTTAAAGAAGAATGTTAATTTACAATAATTATAAATTGTGATAAAAAATTGAAAATTTGAAATTAATATGTAAACATAAGAATTAATTTGTGTTATAATAAAATCCGAGGCGGTAAAAAATCATTTCACCTGCAAGTTCGTCCCTGTACGAAAATCGTGAAATTCACTCTACTATTTACAAATACGTGCCGTGCGCGGACGTTGTCGCTGTAACCACTCCTGCGCATATTCGGACTTGCAGCGGCGACGATGCTGCTGGCGCTGCTGCTGCATCTCCTCGTCTTCCACTTACTGACTGCGAGAGGTGAGCATCATCACCAATTACAGTTTATATGAAGAATCAAAAATACCAGTGACCCAAATTTTACTATGCCAAAATTCTTTGGCGGATTTTGGAAATTTTCTTGTGATGTAGTTTTTTGTTTATTTGTTTTTATAAAGGATCTATATAAAATAGTCTTGAAACGTCTATTGGTGTATTGTTTACAAAAAAAAAAAACTAACGTGGGTAAAGGGTGTTAATGTTTTCAGTGCTGTAATGTATATTTGTGTGAAAATATCCGCTGCTTTAGCAGGCTGTTTGATAACAAGCGTGTTGCCTTCAGATAAGTTGGAACTTTGTGTTGCGACCATGTGAGCAAATTTCACGTGTGAATATGTTACAATAACAGTAGGTATTAATATTGTACAGAGGTAAAGTTTGTAAGTTTGTATGCGCCCCCGCATCATAGTCAAAGTCAAAGTCAAAGTCAAAAATCATTTATTCGAATTAGACCTTTACAGGCACTTTTGAACGTCAAACAAAATTTAAAATAAAAAATAGTGTCAGTCTGTCGGTCAGTCCTCTTAGTGAAGCTATTTGCTCGTTCCAAAGTGTAGATTCCGATGGAGATATATATAATATATATATATGGCATAATCGCAAGCGTAATCTTTGGAATCGGTACAATGTTTCTGAATGCTATAGGCTTCCGCCAACGGCTTCGCTCGCGTAGTATGTTGATAAAAAATAGCCTATGTCCTATTCCGGAGTATGTCTATCCTATGCCTGTGCCAAATTTCATCCAAATCCGTCCATCCGTTTTGGCGTGATTGAGTAACAAACATACAAACATCGTAACTTCATTTATAATATTAGTAAGATTATGTGTATTTTAGTATAGCTATCGCTTTGAATGCTGCTGTTTTATAAACATATAATATCGGGACACATTAGGCGCGGGCGGAAGCCAGTCTCTTATATAGGATAGGGGCTTTTGAAAAATCAAAATTGTCCGTCAATCTCTCAGTCAGGGCATGTTTTGGTCGTGAATCAATTAAATGTGTCATAGGATGTTATTAGTTTATAGCGGCACACAAAATAACATTGTTATTGTTTTCAGATGATAATATTTGTAGTCTGTTTGGATTGAACAGTGTGAAAAATTCATTTTTAATTTTTCGTAGAATGACTGAGATTAATTTAAGTGCTTCATCATCATCAGCCTAGCTGCAGCAAAAGTCTCTTCTCAATAAGCATTCCGTATTCTATAAGCATTAATCACCACCCTTGTTCTATAATAATCATAAAAAAATACAAGTCCAGGTTTCCTCCCGAGCGTACGGAGCGTAGCGTTCCCCGCGCGCCTCTGAGAGCCATTCGGCCACCACAGACGGGGCCCTATAGGGCTAATGTTCAGCTGGGGTTTAGGGTTCCGGGGATTTAGAGATTGGGGAGGGATTCGGGGAAGGGCAAGGTTTGGCTTCTTATACTCGTTTTATAATAATCTTAGTATTAGTATAGGATATATAGGATACATAGTAATCGAATCTGTTACCGTCATCTACACTTCTCCTAATTTACACAAAATATCTATAAAAATACACATCACACTTTACACACAAGGTTATACACAGCACAGTTGTAAACATTCACTAGTTTCGAGTTATTCAAAAACTTTCGTAAAATATTATGCAGGTAATTGAGAGATTCTTCATTGAACATGTGATTACAAAAGATGAAGTCATTGGAAAATAGAGAAACAAAAGATTCATGATTAGTTTGATTACGTTTATGATGTCATTACTTACGTTATATTTCCATTTATTAATTATGTGTTAAAATTCTTCTGTAATTGTATATTGCATGTCCAAATCACTATCATATTAGCTGTTTCTAACGGCTTTGTTTGCGTGGTCAAAGTAAAGAAGTGTCATGTATCACTGTAGCACAAAAATTATACTGCGACGGCGCGACGTGACAGAAATACAAACAAAAAATACAAATTTTAAGTGTGGGAAGTTTCAGCACGAATGTGTCGGCTCGACCGGAGTAATACCATGGCCTTACAAAGAAACGGCGTGAAATAACAGATCCTTCTCCTCCCCAATCACTAAACCTCGAAAAGCATATCAACAAAAGTCAGGCAACGAACTCGTAACTAAAAATACAATAAACAAAATACACTTTCACATTTACAATAATTAACTACTAAACTGTAACCAGCGCAGTCCTAGCCTATTAATCGAAATTAGACGACCCTGTTCCAGATGTCCCCGCGCGCAAGGACACGGGCTTCGTTGTGAGACACATAGACAAGTGTCCAAATGTCGGCTACTACTTCAAGCGGGAGACGCCGCCTAACTCCGTGGGACCTGGCGTGTGTTACCTGTGCTTCTGTCAGAGAGACCGCACCGCCATCTGCTGGAAGAGAGAGAACAAAAGATGTGACAAGCTGAGCTTCCACCATCGGGAGATTGGGAGTCAGTACGTATAATTAGGTTACCCAATTTTGTAGCATTTTCCTTGATAAGTTCTCTAAAAGAAAAGGGAAAAGAGAAAAAGTTAACGTTACTATTATGTTTATGGACACGGGATTAAATAGGTTTTAAATAAAACTGGAAAAAAGATTGAACATTGTGGAACAAAGAATACCTACATATGTTATTTATATTTATTCTTTGTGCCACACTTCAAAAATGGGATCATTATTTGAATTTGAAATTTTATTCCAGCTAAATATTTTATTAACGATTGATTATTGAATATCCTTTTTTTAAAGGGACGCAAGGCAAAGACGCAGTCTCGGTCTCTCAGAGTTCTTTCGAGAAGCTTCCAAGGATTGTAAGTAGTCGTAATATAATAATATAATCAATATAAAATGGAATAGATAATTTAGGTACTTGCATTTACAAGATCCTTACGTAACAAACACCGCCTTCTTTTGAAACAGTTAACATGAGCGACAAAAAATTTATTTCTGAAATAAGTTACATTACAAGAAGAATAAAATGAAACTCAAGTTTAGTCTCACGTTGGTGTTTATAAAATGTTTTATACTTATTTACAGTTTTCATCAAACAATCGAAACCGGAATGCAAGCCGTTCGAGTCCACGTTTAGTGAGGACTGCCCACCAGGTTTGTGCGTTAACTGTTTCCATTATTTTCTTCTAAGATAAATCCTCCCGTCTGTCTCTTCTGGATTAACTCCAACACTTTTTGGACAAATTTTCATGTTCTATTACCAACATTGATAAAGATTATGAGAATGGATGGGAAAGATTTGAGCATGTTTATAAGGATGATAGTAAAATTATGAAAAATAATTATTATGTGTTAATTTATAGCCAATTTTTGTATTTCAACTAATTCGTTATACTAAGTTCGTAGCACAGTGCTACGCCGTAGCGCGTAGCGTACTATCTCACTTAGAACGAGTATGATATCCCCAACCCATTTGCGATGTAGTTAAAATGACTAAGGTGTTCGAAATGAGTTAATTCTTACTTCGATTTCCATACAAATTATAAAGGTTTGCATTTATTGAAAGGATAAGACCGCCCATTGTACTAACAAAATTCTTTCATAGTATCCAATATATTGCTACTTAGTGTATGTGTGCAACAAAGTTTATATAAATAAAATAATAACTAAAACTATCCAACCCGCCGTGACAGCGAGTTAGACTGACTTCTCCTACCCTAGGCGGGAGCGGTAACACATTACTGCGCTTGTGCATGCAACACCTGAATTTATTAACTCTGTGATTACTTTTCAGTGGACTGGTGCACTGGATGTACAGTGTGTGACTGTAATGCTAATGGGAAGTGGGATTGTCATCTCCTGAGTTTTTGTGCCGATGGTAAGTTTATAGGACATAGGCTATGGACTATTGTGTGAATAGTGATTTTAATAGTCGTTCATTAACTATTTGTTTCCATTGTGTAGGCAAGATATTATGACCATTTGATAGAATGATACTTATTTTTGTAAACTGCCTATAAATTGTAAATTGTGAATAAATTTTCAATGAATATATTTCAGAGAAAAAGCAGAAACAGAGCAAAGGTGCGAGAAGAGGTGTCGGTAGAAAGTATGGAAAGAAACCAAAAACGTCGACCACGAAGACAACTGCGACTGTAAAACCTAAACCTGTGCAGAATAATAAACTTAAACCTTTGAAAAATAATAAACCTACACTTGTGAAGAATAATAAACCTAAACCTATGAAAAATAATAAACCTACGGTCAAAGCCAAAAATAAAGCAACAGTAGTGGTGAAACATGGCAACAACAACAAAACTCAAGCACAACGTATTATTAGGAAGTCTATTCCACACAAAATGAACTCAACTACCACCCCAGTAAAAAGAAGAACTCCAATAAGATATAAAAGAATTTCAACAGGTAAGTCAGAAACAACAAAGAAAATGATCAAGAAAAACGTAGTGACACATAAACCAATTGAAATTAAAACAACTAAACATAATTTAGAAATGATAATAGCGCAAAAGTTAATGCAAAAAGTTATGGGGAAATTAAGAAAATCTGTTGCTGCCGAAATGAAAAATATGTCTATGCTAGCACTGGAAACTGTTAAACGCGAAAGAATGAAATATTTAAAGAAGCCTTCTGGTAAGCCAAAAGGGAAGTCAAATCAGGCACCGAAGACACCAAAGACTAACCCAGGGAGAAAACCGATGTACAAACCTGCAGGGAAGCAGACCAAAACGACTAAAAACTATATCAGAAACAAACGAGACCTGAATGCAGCGGCAATTTCAGTGATACCTATTAATGCGTCTATAGGTATGTATACTTTAGTTCTTCATATTATATTGAAATAAGCTTAACAAGTTAATGTACCTAGCTTATTCTCTTTACTTCTTTAACACATTACGATTGGAAAACTACTAAAATTCGGATGTTATTGTATTTCAGAACATTTTTTGGGGACACCAAATGTCACAGAAGCACTTCCTTTCACACAAATGTCGAGTAACTTGGTAGTCCCTGATAATGATAATGATAACACGTCACACACTGTTGGAAGCAGCACACTTCCAGAAAATGAGTACTATAAATATGTCGTCGGTAACGAAGAACATAAAACAAAAGCAAATGCACCACTATGGGACGCTGCGACCACTCGAGTCAATATAACGGAAACTGTCTTCGACCTCATCGGTGCACCATTGACTTCTTATGCATCTACTGAAAAAGGTTTCATAATGAGCAATAGCACAAGGACGGTTACAAACTTTACCGAAACGACAAATTTGAAGCATTCAAAATGGACTCACCTGAAAATACTGAAAGAGAAGAAGATCAATGCTTTATCCGATAAACATAAGAGTATCGTGAAATTAATCGCACACAATGGCCGCAATAGAAAAATGAATAGCCGAAAATATAATATAGTTAAGGTCGTGCATGGTACTCCTTGTATGCTCAAAAGCTGTCTGAGTGTGAATACTACAAACGCACCCACAGTTCACAAGAAAAACAGTTCTGACAATTTACAAAACCTTCTCAAAAACATAATACAAAACTTAAACAAAACCAATGTTAACTCTACAGAGTCAATAAGGAAAAAGAAAAGAAAATTCAGTATTCTTAGATATTTAAAGAAAATTTTCAATAAAATATTTAAACGCGAGAAACCGAACCGACTGAGTAAACATCATCTTATAGAAACTTTGTGTGAAAACTTCGGTCCGTGTCGAGTAAGTAGGAGGAATAGGCGAAAACTGAATGTTAGAGTCGAAGAATTGGATAGTGAAACAACGAAAATTCTGAAAACTGTTAAAATCATTAAAGGTTTATTGAAATTAGTTGAATTACCGAAATTGGGAGATACAAATGTTTCAAAACAAGAAAGTTTTAATGATGACATAATAAAATTGAATAATATACTGAGAGGAAACTACGCATTCAACTTATCAGATACTCAGACAAGACAAGTAGAGTATATAAAGAAAAACACCGAGGAGTTTATAGTATCTGTTCGCAAATTTGCAAAGTTATTAAACGAGATAATATCAATATTGAATAAGGAAGATACTCATATTTCTAAGAAATTAGACTTAATTTTATCACATAAGAATAACCCTAAATATAACCCATTTCAAGGCTTTCGAAATCTTCTAATAAAATACAATTTAGTTCAAAACTCATTTATGAAAAGGATGTACGAGCAGTTGAATAGCTTTGAGAGTAATCATAATATGCCGAAGGTGAGTGCAGTCAAGGGTGTCAATAATAGCGTAGAGATAGAAAACTTTTCAAGAAATATCATTCAAAATCTCAGGAAGCTGAAGCGCCTGGCTCATACCGTGAGCTCTAGTGGGAGGATCAAGAGGGAAATCTCAGGAGATGACGATGCTATAGAGTATCTGCTGATGTTGATGGAGTATTTAATTAAACAAAATCATCCGTTGGACGCTGCACCAGGTAAATATGACTCTACTTTGATATTATCATGTTATCGTAATAGAGAATTAAATAAAAATAGAAGAACATGATGACACTGCTTGAGCTAGAAACTACATCAACATTTTTTACTAACTACTAACGAGGCACTTGAGCCTAATTGACATCAATAAGTTTCTTTCAAAGTAAGGGTTATATTGAATAAGTATTTTGTATAAAAATGATAACATAGGAATTATTGATAACCGTTAACAATCAAATAGTTCGCATGTACAAACTTATTACTTAATGAGTTCCAAGATTTGGTTAAGTTTGAATTTTGAAAATATCGTTATATGTTTTTATTCCGTAGAGATATAGTAGATTTAAAATACTTTTGTCATAGAATATGTTCGGAACCAACCTTTAGAATATTATTATGTAATTTTAAGACCTTGTGTTCTATTATTTTAAGAAAGTATTAAATTGCACGGGACTATTTGTTTTTCAGTAAATGACGGGATAGATCTATTAATAGAAGCAATAAAAAATGCGCCAGATATTAAACCTATTAAGAAAAAAGTGCTAGAGTACACACCTGCTACTTACTCCGATGAAACAACATATCCTACTACTATAACTGCCATTACAGAGAATACTTTTACTGAAGACGATAATCCATCCGATAGTGAAAAGTCTTCAAGTGAAGATAGTGGTAAAATGAAACTAGAGGACACCGAACTTAAATTGGATGAAAACAAAGAGTTCGTTGATATGGTTACGGATGATGATAAAGACCCAGAAGAAAATAATCAGTATGATCGTCAAGCTGGAAACATGAAAGTGGGCGAAATCACTGAAACCTCTTATTTTAACAGACTTGAGCAAAATATTGCAGAACCAGAAAATGATATGGAAACAACGACACCTATGCCAATGGAGATGGATCTTAGCGACAAACAGGATAGTCAAGATGATGTTAATATAGGAAAGACACTTACTATAGAGCAAAAAAATTTAGGCAAAGCCACTAGAGCGGAATCTAGAACCAGACCTAGAGCTGAAGTTGGATTCAAAAATGAAGCTGATGTTGACGCTGTTGGTGGGGCTGATGTGGAAGCTGAACCTGCACCTGAGGCTGCAGTTGGTGCTGTAATGAGAGGGAGAGGTGAAGTTGTATCTATGTCTGAAGCTGGAGCTACCGATATCATTGATATGAACGAAAAGAAGTTTGAAGTACTTGCAGGAGATATTGATGAAGAAGCAAATTTTTCAACTACAACTCCAATAACGGGAACTGAATCACCAACAGCTGTGCCCACAGAATTCCATTCTACTGAATCTGAAACAATCAAACCCAAAACAAAAATGAGGCGTCTGAACTTAGAATCGTATGATAGCGAGAGTCTTGATAAAAAATCAAAACTAGAATGGATCGAAGAAAACTTTGGAAAGAATATTCCAAAAGATTTTACAGATATTGACGAAAGCAATAATACAACAACTGATGCTACAATTAAATATTTGACAGATAAATCAACAGAAAAACAAGTTACTGAGAAATTAGATGTTAGCAATTTAACTAAAGAAGCGGCTGAGGAAGCCGAGAAGAATAAGATAAAGACAGAAAAACAAAGTGCTGAGGATGTAATGTTAAGGAAGCAGATGGATTTATTGAATTCTCTTGATTACGGCACTGAAAAAGGAGAAACATTAGAACCAGACTCGAAGGATACTAATGCGGAAGACAGATACTCAGGAGACACGTTTCCATCGTATTTTATTTAGACGATAATTTGTGTTATTGGTTAACTGTAGAACATATTTTTCAAGAGCAAAATAATGAGATGAGACCAGTTATTGATTCTTTTGTGTGGGAGAGCTGTTCTTCGACGTTAATAAGCCGGTTCGATGGAAGTTAGAGAGAACACTGGCCATTAACATCACTGCCATGTGAATGAGTTTGCCGGAGGGTCAATTGATGAATTTATCATGACTGACATTTTTTTTATATGACTCGATAGGTGTTGCTTATTTTCAAGTTCTTTGCTGTTTTTTTTTTATGAACTTGTGTTTTGTTTTGATCCCAGAAATACAACTATTTTGTGAAATCCACAATTAGCAACGTTACTTCTAAGAATATTATTACAACTCCAATAATTTGTGTAGCGTCGCGCCGTTCATGTTCTACAGTTAAGCAGTGCTTAGTTTTAAGTCATAATAACTTGTATTAACGCCATATGAATAGCAATTTGTTTTAATTGTACATACATTACGAATAATCGACGTTACCTCTAATTGAATAAATTATTAACATTGTTTTCCAATCTTTTTATTTTCATCCTTATACTAGCTGACCCGGCTGAACTTCATACCGCCTCAGACAAAAGATAAAAAAAAAACATTTGCTTTTTCTGACCTTTTAAATCTTCCCAGTATATCCAGGAATATTTCAAGACCACAATAAGCCATATCGGTCCAGCCTTTCTCGACTTTTAGCAACACTAACGAATTAATTTTTATAAGAAGACTATGCTCATATATTTAATTTCCCGGTTGACACTGTGAGTTTATTTGTATATGAAATTGAAATTGCATATTTGTAAACGCGTAGCGCGTGTGTAACGCGTCGAGGTGGCGCGGAGGTTAAGGCGCCCGCTTCTCACGTAAGAGAGTTCGAAACCTGGCATACTATAGGTTCTATTAAGTTAGTTTTAGAAATCTGATCCAACAGACAAACTGTGTATACAGTTTTGTTGGACATTTTATACTTTTTATAATGTAAAATGTACCTTTTAAGGAATAATAAATAAATAAAAAAATAATAAATAAGTACCAATGTGACTTTGTCTGAGTAACATGTACTTTCTATAATTATGTAGACACTATTGGCATACGGCGAAGGAAAACATCGTGAGAAAACAAGAACTTCTAATTATATGTTTAAAATCGCCAATCCGCCTTGAGCAAGGGTAGAGCTTAATGCTCAAACCTTCTCCTTGTGCGAAGAAGCTGGTTTAAACGCTTCCCACGACACCGGAAAAAAGTCAATACTTTAAACAACGATTATAATAAAATTGTTATATGTATTAAAGGACGTGTAATTATTTTATACTAGCGGCCCGCCCCCGCTTCGCAAGGGTCCAACTATCACGCTAACAATGAAATTACCCTTACCCTTACCCTTTTCCCCAATTTTCCCCTCCACTTTTTTAATATTTTCTTTCATAAGAACCTTCTCCTGACAATAATAAATACAAAACAAAAGGATTTGGCAAAATAGGTCCAGCCGTTTTTGAGTTATGCGCTTACCAACACATTTTGCGATCCATTTTTATATATAAGACTAGCTGTGCCCCGCGGTTTCACCCGCGTTTTTGTCGTTTCCGTGGAAATACCGAGATAAAATATTGCCTATATTATAGCCTCCCTCAATAAATGGACTATTGAATATTTCAACAGTTTTCATAATTATCAGATCAGCATTTCCCGAGATTACCGCCTTCATAACAAACAACCAAACTTTTCAGGTTTAGGTATAATATTAAGAAAAATATAGATTAAGTTAAATTGTATAAGTCAAGTAAGCAATAGCTGTTTATCTGTTCGAAATTCAGCCAGAGTAAGAATTACGACTACAGGCGGGAGTGTCCGTCCACTTTAAACCGGGTTAAAATATCATTTTAAAGTACTTCTGAGTAAATTATATTTTTCGTTTTATTTTCTGAATTGGATTTAAATGTAAAGGCAAATCATTTGTAAACATTAGGATCCGAGGTATAAATACTGTTTGACCAACCACTGGACCAGTCAGAACTATTATTGCAACGATCACGTTATTGCGAACAAATTTAACCTAAAGTCTCCCGTTACATAAATTTCTAAGTAAAATAATTGGGACACCAATTTTAACCTTGAGAGAATGTGATGGGATGCCCCTCGGGTATAAAGAATGAAAAAATCCCTGTAGATAATGGACTGCATATTCTTGATCCATTGGAAGTTTAGTTAAAATTAAATCGTTAATTTTGTCAACACTACTGTTTAGACTTTACTCTACTGTACACACTTTAGGATTTTCTCCTGTGTTGTGGGTGCGTTAACAAACATACAATGTCACATACACATGACACCCAGACCCGAAACAACAATTTGTGGATCACACGAAGTGTTATCCGTGCGGGAATCGAACCCGCGACACGTTGCACGGCAGCCAGTTGCCCAGCCACCGCACCGACTGTGCACACTTCCATTGATAATCTTTATTTTCTATTTCGACGATTCTCAATGCTAGTCTTTTTTCTCCTAAATCTTGATCAATAGGTATTTTATTTTCAAAATAAGGTACTTTTCCGTCTCCAACTAAAAGTAACTTCAAAGGATTTGTACTACCTCCTCCCACATATGCTCTTATGTCCGTAGATAGTTTTAAGGTATGAACAAATTTCCATAATAGATAACTTTTAAGGCAATTTTTTACAATGTCTACTTTAGTTCCTCTTACTACTACTGGTAAAGTTTGCCGAAAATCCCCAGCAAACATGACAGTAATCCCAACCATGATTTTATCACAGCCTCTAATACCTCTAATAGTCCTATCTAGAGCCTCCACATGAATTGAGCTCTATGAATCATGGTACATTCATCCCAGATTATTAAAGTGCCATTTTTACGAATAGAGCACACGCTCTTTCTGTAACGGAACGGTTAGGTTATGTTAGTTTAAAAGTGTAATGAGTTGTGCGTTCGCCAGTTAATATAGTAGCAGCGATTCCAGATGACGCTACTGCCAAAGCTAGTTTTCCCTGAGACCTTACTTTTGCTAATATCATATTAGTAGCTAATGAAAGTTTTGCCGGTTCCGCCTGGAGCATCCAAAAAAATATTTTTCCCTCATTATCCAAACAACACTGAGCATAACACTATTGTTTGCCATTACCTGGTCATTAAAGAACTTGGGTGCATTTACAGTAATATACTCATGTAATTCATTTAAATCGTATGGCTTCCGCAACGACATTTCCAAATTAAGATGTATGTTTTTCCTTGGATTTCCTTTTCCTTAGCAGAGTTAGTTTAGAAATGTATTTCTTATACTCTTCAAAGATCTTATACTTACAATCATCAACAAATATATTACGAAAAATATTATTACAGGATTTTATGTTGATAAAAAACTATATGGTCCATAACTCATTAATAAGGTACCAACTCTTAACATCTTACACACATGATAACTTTTAAACGATTGAGAGATTGAGAGGAAATAAAAAAGAATTTTAAAATACTTCTAAATAAATAATACTCTTGATAACATAATGCTTAATTCCGATAAAGAATAATATTACGATACATATTTAACGCTTTTTTTCCTTCAGACGATTTAATAATTATTTTGAACACAAAATCGGGTATTGTGATTAAACCATGATAGCTAGATATATGCTCTCGCGGACTTTTTGTAGGTTTTAATAGAATCTACAAACCCGTAGTACATCATTTTGTTCTATGGTCAATAGTTATTGCAGCGCACGCAAAAATAGGTTTTCGATTTTACTCCTTGTGTTACAAAATAGCAATTTTATTAAAGATCCTCAATTTTGAATGAAATAAAATATACCTTCCTCGATAAATGGACTACATAACACTGAAAGAATAATTCAAATCGGATTTTTTTTTTGTTTTCGGAACCCGACTGAGGATTAATACCTCAAACGACGAATTCTGTGCTCCAGCTCCAAAGCACACGCGCACACTGTTTTGATAGATATGATTGAATTTGAACTTTGTTTAGTGGTAAGAAAGTGCAAATTTACTTTTGACGTTAGGAACACACCTTTTCTTCTTTCATTTATTTCTTAGATAACAGTGAGTGCTTGCTATTTAATATGAACCTTATGTATAACACCAATAAAGCTCAAATTGATTCGACGTTTTAGTTAGAAAACGTTTGTATGTGAAAAAGAAAAGGTCTGTTTTTAGGGTTTTCCCGGCAATTATTAGATTTTTTCTCGCCGTAAGAACCATCCTTGGACTTCAACGAACATCTTAAAAAAAGAATTGGCCAAATTGGTCCAGGCATTATTGAGTTATGCGCTTACAACACATTTTGCGATCCATTTTTATTATAAGATTTATATTTGTAGCTAGAATTTCCATTCTGATTTGCAGACTGTCTTGTTTAATGTTATTTGTGTATTAATAAACAAGGTTGCTATGAAATTAGAATATTAAAATTTTACATAAGTAAGTATTTCGAGTTCGTCTGTGGCCGTCGTTCGTTGGCCAGGTTGTGTCGCAACCGTTCCGGTCTGCTGCCCACCGTGCGCGGCTCGACCTTCCGTTTTCGCTGCATCTAATTGTCCAACAGTTACCGGCTTATCTCCTGTGCCCACTGAAACGATGTTGTTACCGATAGTTTTTGTTATATTTCATAAAACTTGTGAAGAAAACAGAATGATACTGGTAAACAAGATTAAGGAAAAACTGTTAACATTTCTGTAAATTATATAGGTACATACGTCATCCAAGAAGTAGGACTTTAGCATGCATTGTACTTGAAATAAAAGGTGCCTTTTATATTATACAATGTTCTACAACCTATCATCACAAGCGAAAATATAGGTAAATATCTGCTATGCAAAGGAGATCCATAGGTCTTCAGGCATGTATTTTTCAGCCGGGGTTGCGGGTTAAGCGCAATGAGTCAGCGCGGCCTCGGCTCCAGAGCAGGAGAAGGCACGGGGAGTTTTTAGTCAGTAAGAGTCTGACATTCTCTCTAGCTTTAC